CCACACCCACACCCACACCCACACACCCACACCCACACCCACACCCAGCCACCCACACCCACACCCACACCCACACCCACACCCAGCCACCCACACCCACACCCACAGTGATATGTGGACCTTCCTGGAAAGCTCTCTGCCTAACTTTTTTGCAGACGACTTAGCATGTGTGCTGGGAGGTATGATGGGAACCAAGTACTCACAGCAGTGTCTCGACCTAGAGTCGAAACTCAAGAAATTGTTTGAGTACCTTGAGTATTATGCCGCCTTATCGGTACAACCGATAAATTATGAAAAAACCGAACTACTTTGGTCGGCACGCGCTGTTGGTAGGCCTAGGTTTGATATCGCAATGGGAGATCATAAATTAGCATGGGTCAAGAGTTTTAGATATCTCGGTTACCACATATCGTGCAAACTTGGCTGGAACAAGATGATTTCCTTGTACAAAAGTAAAATTAGACAAAGAGTAGCCATAGTGAAGTCATGTCATATGTACGGTTCTTCTTCGCAAGAATTTCGCAGGATCCTGTTCTCTACCTATATCCTGCCACTATTCACGTGGTTGTTTTGTATATTTCCCTTATTCACTGATTATCAAAAGATTGATCTTAACCACTTTTACTACACTTGTTTGAAGCGAATTCTCGGAGTTCCTAGGTGGAACGACTTCCTTTTTGCGTCCATTTATGACGAAAAATCCTTAGATAATCTATGTGCAAAATACTGGAAGAAGTATCTTATCCATCTGAACAACTCAATAGATGGATCTATGTGGCTTGAGCATCAAGTATTAAACTCGTTCAGAAACCAATGGCTCGACAAGAAATATGTAGTGAGATTCGTGTATCGGTCTAAACGATTGGTACCATTCGTTCCGAGCGTTGAGTATTGTTTAAGGTGGTTAGAAAATACCACTACTGATTCTATTCCTTTTATTCCGAAGGATGACCTGGAGGTATTCTCTGAATTTCCGCAGACATTCCTATAGGAACTAAGGCTTCTTCCTGTCCCTTTCGCGTACATTGCCTTTGTTTTTCTTGTGCTGCTCTTCCTTTTTGTTTTTCTTTTGTCTTCATGTTTTTATTTCTCTATACTATTTGTTGTAGTCATACTCCTCTCTCTTGATCTTGATCTGTGTTTTTTTCTCTTTAGGTTTCATTTTCTTTTGTCGTTTTTTTTTTTCTCACCCTGCCTTCTTCTCTGTGTTTCTTCTAGTCCTTCTCCTTGTCTCTCTTTATATACCTACTAATAGTAACATTGTAACTTATGGACGATGTCTTAAAAGGCCTTCGGGCATTAATTTTTCTTCAATAAGCTTAATAAAAAAAAAAAAAAAAAAAAAAAATCAAATTACATATAATATTATTGGAAGCAAAGAAATATAATACACTGTGAAAAAACAGAAGGAGAACTATTAAAAATTTTATCTTTATTTTATTTTTTTTGATAAAAACCAATCATAAAGAATAAAACATTGCGTTATGCTTTACCTCTCCTCTTTCCTTGTATAAAGGAAGATCATCCTTCTTTGAATGATCAGTTTTAAGGAATTGCGAGGTTTTCCTCATCAAAAGTGACCTTTTCTTTTAAAATATTTTATTGTATGACAATTTCTCGTTACTTAAAGGTAAGTGTTAACAATAGATTTTGTCCCACTAGTAATTTTCAGTACAAGTTAAGAAAAATGAATTCTTAAGTATCATTAATAAGAAGTTTTACATTGAAATCAAGATTTACATGTAATATTAAAAATTTCGACGTTTTAATATGGATTTTAATGCAAAAAGTGAAAACTTAATATTTATATAAATATTAATTGATGACATTCATTTTTTAGTTACTAATTATAGTTATTGATGTTATAATATATTTTTTGTTTTTCGTTTTTATTCAAAAGTGAACAAATAATGTTATTTCATGCTGATAATGACTGTACGTAAGAAAAAATCGATATTAGTGAATGAAAATTTTCTAAACTATACATAAAACTTGATTATATAACAAAACTTTTTATTATTAGCACCTATTAGATTATCAATATAAAAGTTTTGTTTATTTTCTAAATTCAAATGAACTTCTCCCTGCGATAAAAGACCTTGGATCTTCTGTTATGTCTGATTTGCTTTCATAATAATTAATTAATAAAGTTTTTCAAAAAAGCAGAACATTTTTTAGGATTTAAGAAGAGATTTAATAGCTTACAAAATGATGTTGACCTTACTCTTTTAAGATGTTCAACTCAACATTCTGAAAACAAGAATTAAGGGGCTTCCCCCTCCTCTCAGGAATCGTTTTTGTTATCCGTAGGCCGATTTGGCTGAAATTTTCAGGCAATATATGTGTTGCGTTAACTCAATTTGTTGCAAATTTTTGATTCATAAAATTTTTGTTTTAACGAGTTATGGACAAATTAGTCCTCAAAATGGTGATCTTCGTAAGGTACCGATTTCTCGAACTGACAAAGAGCTAGAGAGCTAGCATTTGTTCTAAATAAAAGAGAAGACCTGAGTCTACAAATGTATAAACCGTCTTTTCGAAATTCGATTTTGTTTGGATTTCCGAGACATTTTCCTGCAATAACTCGGAACTTAGCGCTTTTTGACATCACTGTTATCTAGTTATCTCGACAAGGAAATTGAATTTTGAAAAAACGCTATACACATTTCTAGACGTAGGTCTCTTCTTTTATTTAAAAAAAACGGCAGCTCGCTACCTCTTCTACAGTCTGAGAAATCGGTTCCTAACTCTCCAAAAAAAGTGATTTTGAGAAAACGAATTAACAAGTTTGTGAGATGTGTAAACGGATGTGAATGTGACAAAAGTAATCAGTGTTATATATATATTTGAAATCAGCGTGAAATTCTCTTTTTAAGTGGTATAATTAAATAAAAATATTAAACAGTTTTTAATTCCACTATGACCGTTATGACCCCTATACTGCAATTTCGTTATGTATAAAGGACTCGAAGCAGAAACGACTACGATGATGATAGAGATGGTCAGCAAAAAACATTAACTTCGAAAAATGATGAGACAAATGAGTGGCCGGCTTTGATAAAAGAAATTCTAAGATCCAAATTTCCGTGAGATATTAAGAATTTATAATTGTCATAAACAGACAGATGTTGTCTTTTCAGTAGAAACTTTTATTGATTTAGGTGTACAATAAACAGTGGAATGCTGGTTTTTTCCTCTTGCTATCTCAGGGAGTACCCTCTAACTGTGTTCAGCGGATGCGCAATCGAAAATAACCTATATATGTTTGGAATGAGCAAAAATAAATGTAAACTAGCATTGAAAATCGCTCGAACCTCTTTTTTTTGTAGAAAATAGTTCCAAAAATCTGATTCTAAAACCGCGCCATATTGCTGTAATTAATTAAAATAACAGAACGTATATGTATTTCTCATTTGAAACCGTCTACAAGTTTGTTGACCACTGTCACATCCTCGTAACTAAGGAAGATTTCTGGAAAAAACCTTATATTGCTAGTACTGCTTCCAGAAAGCCGTTATTTCCATCGCCAAAAGCCATCCAAAGTGCAATAAATCGCACATGATCTGAAAGAGGACACTTTGGGCTTTCAGTATATATGCTTGTCTCAAAATTGGTTTTTTTCAGAAAAATCGATTTTCTGAGGGAGGGGAGCCCCTTAAGAGAAGTCTTCTGTTACGTCTAACGCATCATTTCTCCAAGGTAGAGATATGCACGGTAAGGTTTTTTTCGTACCTTGTACTTAGGATGAGTGAATTCAAGTCATTTATTCAAAATCAAGCGTGTATTTTTTTTTTTCAAAGCCGTCGTTTACTGAGGTTGCATTGTTCAAAATTTTTACAAGTTAATATTTGCATTTTAATAACTTTGAAATGCAATAAAGTATTAAAATGTTAAGACATGATTTTTGCTTGTAAACAATTTTAAGTTTCGATTTTTTTGTTTATAAAAACTGATGGTTTCTAGCTTGACTTGCTCAATTGTGCCCGAGAAAAATTGTCTTATCTTTACTTTACTCTGTTTTGTAGAATATCTACTCTTACTTTATCCTACGAAGTTTTTATCTCGTTTCCCCTTAGTCCTACCCTAGTTGGAAAACTCTAAAAATGATAAATAGCAGTAAAGATGTGCAGGATAAGTTAGCTCTGCACATCTCTACTCCTTCGAGGAGGTTTCTTCTGTAGCGACGAGAGACTTAATTACACTATTATATATTAGAAAAAGCAAGGTTCAACATAAATTGTAATTGAGATGAAGAGCATCGCCTACCACTTTTCTCTTCTTTCATATACGATTGAAGAACATCTATCGTATTTTTACTTATGAATATTGCTAAAATCTTTAATTAGAAAAGTGTATTCTTAATCAATATACGTATCAGTACTGTGAGTAATAAGAATGACATGTAGATATATTACAAGGATATCATACATTCGCTTAAAAAGAAAGATTTTCTTTGTGCATCTTGCCTGTATAATCATAAGACTGTGTAGAAAAGAGAACACGTGTCATTGAAAAATTCTTCTCTGCAATTTATTATCGATGTTTTATTGATCATGGTTATTTGATATCAAGTGTATGAATGATAAAAACGAAAAAAAAAATCTGATATGTACTTCTTTGTTAAACTTCAACATAATCATAATCATAAAGAAACGTATGTAAAGAATTTTGTCTTAGTAGTATTCGAATAATTGAATTATTTAATTTATAAAATATTTCTCAAATTATTTTTTAAGATAACTTTTCTATAAGAAAATACAATCGAATTTTATCAAATGATTTCAATTAAATATATTATTTAAATTAATTATAAAACAACATTAATTAATCTTTGAAAAATGTCGTCAATTCATCGAATATATTATTTTATTTTTATTATTGGTCTAATTTATTTTTCAATATTACTTATTCAAAAATTTGATATAAATTTTCGAAGATTAATTACAAAATCATTTATATCAAGAAAAAATATTATCTATGGTGAATTTACATGTGAAACATGGAAGAACTTTTCATATATTAATGTTTCGAAATATCAAAATTGTTTAAAATGGCAGTTAGAAACAAGTTTTTGGCCTGTTCAAGGACTACGTCATACATCTTATAAAAATTTATTAAATTCATCTTCACTTATTATTGAAGTCGGTGGAAATCGTGGACATGATACACTTGAATTTATTAAATTATATAATCCTTTTATCATTAGTTTCGAACCATTAGTACCAATGTCCGAAGCATTGAAGAAAAAATTTAAAACAAATTCAAAAATAGAAATTCAACCATATGGACTTGGTAATCGAGCAAGAAATTTATTAATTGAACCATACGATTATGCAAATGTAGGTACAAGTATTTTTCGAAAATTATCTTCTAAAAATTCATCAAAAATTCAACATATTCAATTACTTGATGTAGTTCAAGTTATTGAAAATATTCGAAAAACAAAAACAAAATATGGAATAATTGATATGATTAGTATTAATTGTGAAGGTTGTGAATTTGAAATTTTACCTGCTCTTATTCTTAATAATATGATACAATATTTTCGAATTATACAATTTGGATCACATATGGGACTCGTAGCTGGATCACCATGTATTTATTGTCAAATTGAACAGGCATTAGAAAAAACTCATCGAATAAAATATCACTACAAAAAGTTATGGGAAGGATGGGTAACAAAAAATTTTCAATGAAAAAAAAACCTAATCTTTTTGACGAATGGTGCCTTTTTTTTAAACGTATAGAGAAATTAATAGAAATAATGTCTTGAATTATGAAATATGTTAAGTTTTTTATAATAAATTTCAAAAAAAAAAAGAAAAAAATTATTTTTAGGATTTTAATTTTAACGGCTGATCCATAAAGAATGGAACACTTTTATTCCTTCTTTTTTTCAGTAGCGCAGACATAATTGAGAAATTCTGTTTTTTTGTATATCAGTCGATAGGGAATTTTTCATTCTACAAGATTGTTTATTGTGTTTTTAAAATAAATGGGTTTTTTTCTGGTGAATAAAATTGGAAAAAATTAACATCTATTCAATCACCCAACTGAGATCTTCGATTTTCTGCAAACATCTATATATTTGTGTCAACCTCGGCTCATCAAGTCCGATGCTAAAAGTAATGCATTAAGCATTAATAGATACAGAATGTTATACTCTACGTTTCCATCATGCTTTCAAGGCTTCTAGAGCTGTTGTTCAGAAGCAAAGGGCGTGCAATTAATACTAGGTGATACTTTTAGATATACTTTCGAAATTCGTTTTTTTTTCAAAAGTGAGACGTGCTCTATGAAGGTTTTATTGTTATGTCACCAGAACGAGAATTTAATTCTGAATAAAATGAAGTCATTTTACAATAGAACAACGAAAATCTTTTGGTTTTTTTCTCAATTAAAAACGAGAAGGGAAGGACTCACAATTAAAGTCAACACTAGAGAAGAGAAGAGAAAAGAAAGGCAGTATAACGATTGGTGACCCTCACAATGTGATCATATTGGAAGAAAAAGAAAAATATCTCTGTCTTTCGACTACCTTGTGGTATAGAGTACTGCCTAGAGCTAGATTCAGTAGCCCGATATCTTATCTGCAACTAATGCCAGAGCTCTTGCGCTCAGTTGCTTGAGTTCTCCATGCACACTAACTAACTACAAGAGTAGGTGTATGTCATAACGTAGTCAGCATGCTATCGAACGAGTGACCCAAGACCAACAGATGTTGGTGTTTTGTTCAGAATCATTCCATTATTGGTGATACCGAGACTTAAGTACAATACATCAAGGATGCGTGTCGAACAATGTAGACATTCAACCACGATGGCTGTATGATTACATACATGAAGGAGAAGCCTTTTATAAAGCACATCTAACGAAGGTACAAGTCATATTATTCAGTTCAAAATCAATGGTACCAAAATAAAAAAAAAAGGATAAATATTAAAGAAGTTGTCTCTAAGCATAAATTACCAAAGCGATAAGATGAAAAACAAAATACTAATGAGTCAATTCTAATATACTGCAAATGAAAGAACGACGCTCCAAATGAACATTCTACTTAATGTAAGTAAAATGACATACAATTGCATAGTTTTCATAGTGTGACAATCATCCAAAGCATTGCATTCGAGATCGTCTAATATACTAAAGAATGAATAAAGGGTGTTTCATAATAACTAACGATAAATCATTAATGATATTTTTTATACTTTTTTTTTTGACGGACAAAGCTGAAATTTTTATCACATATATATCTAATCGAGATTCATCATTTCTAAAAGTTTCAACCATCTACTTTTAGCTAGTGATGATATACATAGACAGATTGCAGTACATAAAAAGTGTCTCTTAATAATTGAAGATAAATTTGTTATGGATATTTTTCAAACTTTTTCTTGATGTAGACAGCTGAAATTTTTATCACTTTTATATCTTATCAAGATCTTTTATTTCTGAAAGTTTCAGCTTTCTAGGTATAACTAATGGTGAAATATATCGACAAGATTGAACAAGATACATTTTCGTACTCGTTTTTTGCATTTTATTGTGACAGTGAAAATAATGCAAAAGGTGTGGGTGTAGGATGTGAGTGTGTGGGTGTGGGTTTGGAGTGTGGGGTATGGGTGTAAATCTTCTCTTCATCCACACTCGCACCCGCACTTGAGATGGATTGTGCATATACATAGTTAAAGTCTTCTAAAGATCTACAAAAAAATATTTTCTATTTTTATTGAATCAGTTGAAAACTAAATCCATCAAACCTTGTTATATTTAACATGAATTCATATGGTAAGTTTGTTTGAACAAAACTTATAGCAACATTCACATTTGTTTTGGCTGATTCAAGAGCTTTTTCAGCATAGTCGTACAATAAATCATTCCAAATAGAATCACTCGTCAAAAGCTTAAATCTGACTGAGAATTTTAGTGGTAGCAGACACGAATCTCATTCATAAGTGGCTAACATAGCAGCGAATTCAAGAACTTCTAATAGAATTTTTCAATTATGTAGAATAGGAATGCCATGATGACGATAACTAGTCTTAACCGGTAATTATTCCACTGGTAACCGGTATACATCCGCATAAGTTGATATAAAGTTGATACCGGTTTATAGCGGGGTGTGATTATAGGATGTGTTTGTGGCTATGAGTGTCGATGTGGGTTTGAGTATTCTCTTCACCCACACCCTCAAGATCTTGATAAGATATATACGTGGTAAAAATTTCAGCTGTCTACATCAAGAAAAAGCTTGAAAAATATCCATAACAAATTTATCCTCAATTATTAAGAGACACTTTTTATGTACTGCAATCTGTCTATGTGTATCATCACTAGCTAAAAGTAGATGGTTGAAACTTTCAGAAATAATGGATCTCGATTAGATATATATGTGATAAAAGTTTCTGCTCTGTCCGTCAAAAAAAAAGTATAAAAACTATTATTAATGATTTATCGTTAGTTATTATGAAACATCCTTTATGTATCGGTCGACTGTGAATCTTTCTAACACATTTTTCTTATAATATTTGTAAGCATTGATGCACTCTTCCAGACTTCTCTATTTCTATGCCAATACGACACGCTACTGATGCATATGTTGATACAAAAAACCATTCAAGCCTTAGAATAATGAAATATTTGATTTTTAAAGTTTATCAAATTTTGATGCATCCCAGTCACACAAGATCTCTAAAAACTGCGCTAAAACGCTGTTTCAACGAATTTTTTTAAGCGTTTAATCGCATTAGAGATTCCTGAACACTTGAGAATGCGGAAAGAGCAGTTAAGAAAACATATTTTCGCATATGTTATCTTGAACGTGTTTCACTACGCTTTATAATAAATGATTTGTTATTTTCTGTTTTTTTTAAAGTAATTCAACATGTTTCAATAGATGTCTCTTGGAATTTGTTAAAATACAGAATTTTTTAGTCTGATAACTTATACTTATATGAACACATCTTTGCTTTCTCTATTAATGTTAAGATACTGTTATATTTATCGTCATGATGGAGAAATCTTTGTGTTTGTCTCTGCATCTGCTGATTTTTCTCAGACTAGACGAATAAAAAAAGGATGTGCATTAAAGTTTAGAACATTTCATTCCATTGATTCTCTCATTCAATTGTGCAGATAATTTCGTATATATTACAGTAATCGATATTTTCTACGAATCATATGTGTTCTCCTTTTTTTTTTTGTAATAAATCATAAGAGAATTTTACAACATATTCAATATAACATCTTCTTATCAGATAAGCGAATGTAAATATTAATTTATTGATGAAGATACTGAAATGAAAAACAAAAAGGTTTTTATATGCTTTATTTGTCCGATATCAGTTAACAGTGCGCTTTAATGTGTTAGAAGTTATCATTTATTTAGAATAACTCAGTATATTGAATAACCTGGTTCTGAATAATTTTGATATTGTTATATCATCACCCACAAAAAATACTTCAAGTTTGTAAAAGATTATTTTAGTAATCCGATCATTTATGTATATATAGAAATTTATATTTTTTTTGTTTTTTTTTTTCTCTTCAGTTCTACTTTATTCATATCCAACTTACTTATATTACTTTCTCATTCGTTTCGATTGATCGGTTCATTCAATCATCTATTCTTTGTATAGTAGTATCATTTTTCTCTTTCATTTATAGTAGTAACCGTTTCTTTCTGCGTGGGTTAACATATTTTGTGGCAGCTTATTGCATTTTTTTTCTTCATATATTCAGTTAAGCGAGTTAATATAGTTGGCCGATCAGCATACAAACGAGTCGCTGAATACGAGTAAGTCTTTAAAGTTTTTTGCGTCTTTCTATTTATTGTTTAGATGAAAATAGAATTGTCATTTTTTTTTAGTTTTTCTGGTTAAGTCAGCAGAAATGAGGAAGAAACGAATAGCTTTAGTTAGATATCATGAATAGGTTTCAACGTATCTATGGTATTTCAAAAGTTTTGAGTCCATTTTGATTGTTGTTTTGTATTTTTCGAATATACAAAGTTGCATAGAAATAGAAGATATATGTTTAAAAAAAAAATCTAAGTTATCATTCAAAATTTACTATACTCAACTAACATCCTGATTAAGAGGATACGTTATTAATACAAAATGTTATAGTAATTTTATAAAAATCTCTTTTTTTTATTATTATATTTTTATCTTAACTATGTTAAAAAATCTACATTTAAATATACTTTAGCATTAGATTCGATAAGAGCACAATGATAACAATGACTTACAGTGAGTGTATGACTAATACGACAAAAATCGAGAAGAAAATAAATTTGTTAAAAAAAAATATTTTAGCATGTTTTCTAATAATATACTTTCTTAACAAAGATATCAATTGAGTATAATAAATTTTGAGTGATAGTTCAGATGTTATAAATAAATATTTTCTAGGTATGTTCAACTTTATATATTCGAAAAATATACAAAAAAACTCATAATGACTCGAAATCTATAAAACAATCTTTATACATATTACATTCGTAGAATGCGCAATAGTTAGATGAGGTTGTTAAAGGTAAAATAGTTTTTATCGGATATCTTTACATGTTACTAAATATTCAATTTTTGAATTAAGTGTATTCCGAAAGAGAACAATCATATTCTTGAGATCTGAATTACTTGAAATATAGTTAAGATGAACTCTTATAAGAATTCAATCCATGGACGGCGCATTATTTAATTTTTTAAGGGAAGCAATAAAGTTTTGGATAGGTCTATATTGCCTCCCGTTCCTCACTAATAAACATTCCCTCTCTGATTTCGAAGTAATAGATAAATTTTTTTGTTATTCTTATTGGTATAACAAACAGCAAATAAAATTAGTCATTGTGTTTCTTTCATTAAATGTTGATTAATCGGATTGCAATACTTTTGATCAATGTCATTAAATATCACATAGTCAGTCTTAGAAAGATGAAAGTCGATTTATAAACATGCTACTGATCTTGATTCAGCAGTAAACTTTGAAGGTCGTTTAATGTGGCAGAAGAAAGTTCAAAATAATCAAAATGTCGATTATTTATTACTCAAATAATCACATATTGAACATATATGAAGCAGAAATGTCTATGGCGACACTGTCACGATGGCGTCGTGGCAGCGGCAGATTTTTTCAAAAATACATGAATTTGCATAGAATCTCGATGTTTACATATGTGATACTGTAAGACTTGACAAATCTGCTCGATTAGCAGCAACAGTTCTAGTTCAAACCAGTACGGCCTTCAAAACTGAAACATGTTTTTGAATACTATCACTGCAGTGGCAAGTTTTTTTTTACAGTTTGTCGTGATGGACATCTATGACAAGTAGAGAAGTCTATATATCAAGATAACAATAAATAAAATCATGAGATCATGGATTAGTTCTGATAGGCCATTCATGATTCGATTTGTAACAATGTATATCAAATTCAAAATTCAAAAGAATTCTAAATTTGATATAGGTTCCTCTAGATCAAAATTAAACTAATTAGCTATCTGTTACAAGAGAGAATTCTTATAAGAATTTAATCAAAACTATACTTCAAGTAATCCAGGTCTTTCGTATATGATTGTTCTCTCTAAGGATACACCTAATTCGAAAACTGAACGCCGTAAAAATGCGTAAACCTTCTTGAATGAAAATATATTTGTTCAAAAACTTTAACGCATTTTTATGAGGTTTTTTATTGGTTGTTTGCCTGGGTTAATGACATACATACGTCAACATCATAGTGGACAACAACGTGGACATTCAGTACAAAAAATGAAAGTAAACTTTTTCGAGATTTGAATAGTAACGTGTACACTTTGATTAACGACTAGATTTTTAGTAAAATTAGTTCCAACTGGCAAATTCATTGGAAAAACTTGATTACTAATTCAGCACCTTAAGGAAAAAATAAAACAAATTGGATATTGAATCATATGTAGTCTGAACTAAGGACTTATGCTTTTTCGATTTATAAGAAAAGTTTTCGTTCTGAAAAAATAACTATTCTTTTTAATCTACGCGTCTTCCAAAAAGACGTCTTCAGTAAAGTTGGTCGCCACTTTTTTCTCAGTGATCCGGTATCGACGAAGGTTTCAAAGAATATTCTTGTATATCTAGGGCATACACTCACTTAGCATACATATTTCTGGACTGACATACAGATGTCCTATAAACGTTGGTTTTTAACGGTTTTATACGATTTCTTTGTCATAGAAGCATTTTGAGAGAAAAATAGAGAGATATTTGGAATTAGCATGAAAAACTGGATCGAGTGATGTATCATTTATCAATTTTTAAAATAAAAAGTTTTTTTCACAGAAGTTTAGAATAAATATCCTTCTCAAGGATTTTCCACTACAATTTGTTCTTTTTTTTTTCTTTTTCATCCATCTTATTTTTGATTGCCCATAGTGAATATGTCGGTTTTATCAAAGCGTATTACGTACATCAGTGTTTTATCATCTGTGAAAATTTGATAAACATTGGAAATGAAATATTTTGTTATAGTAACACTTGCGCAATTGTTATGACGATATATATGTTAGTAGGGTACTACATTGACTTAAGTGCTCAACTTTTGGACAAGGAAATATCAAGAATAGTCACTTGATGTGGTGGTTAGATAAAATTATGGTTGTTTATACGTATTGTTGCTACTATTGAATACAAATAACGAAGTAAAGAGCATCAAATGGCAATAAACTTTCGACAAACAGCTCTCTGTATCATCCGCAGAATGAATGATAAAAAACAAAAAAAGAACAGAAAAGGTTACACGTACTGATATAATTATGTGTTGAAAGAAAGAGATAGCATGATTTTTGTTTTTTTTTTTGGATTATATCTATTTTTTTGCTTTTTTCTTTTCGATACATCTTTGTATCAATTCAGGTCGAAAAAATACGATCGTAAACTGTTATATACAATGAGGTATGGCAAGAAAAAATTTTTATTAGTGAGAAATGAACAATTAATTTTCATTTGTTGATGTTTTGATAGTATATGATTAAAATTGAATTGAATAGAAAATTATTTATGATCTATTAGAAATCTACGACTAGGCATTTTTGATCATCTAATTCTTATTATATTTCAAGACGTCGATCCAATTTCCAATGGAAACAAATTTTCCATTGGCGCAATAGTCAACGTTAGAACTGATCGTTTTCTTCGATCAGGAACTATAACAAAAAAGAACAATCGACTACCATGGAATTCATTCTATTGGTGAATGCTTTTCCTCTATATATTCCGCATCTCGGAGGAGATCTACAATATAGTATTAATCAATAAATGATATTTATCTATCCATATCTTATCTATTCTCTATATGTATATATACACTTTCATTATTAATTTATTACAATTACAATTTATAATTTTTTATTAATGATTAATTTTAAACTTTTATTATTTATTATTTGTTACTGCTAATAAGTAATATAGAACTACTTTATAAAATTACTAATGAAAAAATAATTAAAACATCAATAGTCTTAAAATAATAACAATAAACGAAGTAAATCGTAGTATAAAGCAATACTTAATAAACGAAATAATAATTTTCATCTATTATCGAGTATACTAATAATTAAAAAAAAGAGTAATGGTAATGATTTCTTTATGTTAAGTAATCATCTTTACTGTAGTTATGAAAAACGCCAAAGGTTTTTATTATGAGATGTAATCTCTTGTATGTTCTATTCATTACCAAGTGTAATGAAATGTATTATATTCATTTTTATATCGTTCGTGTTATTAATCTTCACAACACTCTTTTCATGTCTGGTCATTCTCTATACATGTGAGTCATCTGTTCTCTCATGATCGATGCACATTATTACCTTTTCTCCTCTCTTCGCATCAATGGCATAAATACAGACATGTTTACGTAGACATAAAGTGGATATTCTCGTCGTGCGAATATTCTTACACTAAAGTTTGTTACATAATGTGTTCAATTTGTTTTGACTTTTAACGGAGTTTTAAAGCTCTTTTGATCATTCTTATCGCATTCTATGTTAACAAAATGTTTTTTTTTTCTTTGACCTGAAATCTTGCATTCTTGTATCAAAATTATTTGACATCATTCTCACTATTGAATTCTCTCTCGCGTGCTGAAATCAATATCAAACTTTTTTGATTTTTGCTGAATATTTATTTTCTTTTTCTCTCTAGTTTCTTTTCGAAATATGATCAATTCTTAGAAACGTGTAAAATTTGCGTCGAGTGTTACGAATGATTAATGTATACTTTCACGTGTTAGTATGTTATTGTCGGTTATCTATTTGCTTTGGTAATTGTATACTGTATTATCTTTATATATTAAGAATGTTCTTTCGTTTACATTCTTCTTCACTAAATAAGTGTTTTATCTATTAAGAGAAAGCAATTGAAGTCATAAAAGTTAAAGGTTTGACTAAAAATTTCTTCTAACGGAGACTTCTTCGAAGTAATTCATCACTTTGAGTTCATATTTTACTTCGATAGAGAAATTCTGTAGAATAGAATAAATCGAAAAGGATCTCGATCCATAGGTCTTCCATACAGATTGACAACAATTTTAATAGACTCTCACTATAGGACGAAGTATTGCCAGAAAACTTGAACAAATAATGGTTGACCTGAAATTTAAGTTATAAGTAGGTCTTATGGATTAGAGTCTGTTAGGTGCAAGAATCTTGGACTCGGACTCTATTCTTACTTTTAATAAAATTTTTAACTCCAGATTTGATAGTCGCTCCGAAGGTATGAGATATGTTTTGCAATTATTTGTATTCGGCAGCTAACATGCCCTATGTATTTCTCAGACAATCTTGACTGTGATGTCTTAAGAATCTAGTTATAATTTGCTCTTACTTTAAGAATAGTGCTAGACGGTGAACGGTCTTGACCGTGGACTTAGTTGGATTCACGTTGTATCCGACGCACTCTATTCATGATCCTGAAAATATTCTGTAAGTTTCAGTGAAAATAATCGCTTCTTTTCTTGAAGTACTCATCATTCAAAAACTTCCGATTTTTTTCTGAAATCGTTTTGACTGTAAATTTTAGAATATTCTTAACATCATGAGACCTATTGATAACCTAAATTCCAGGTCAACAACTTTTTTTTGTTCACATTTTCCTGTCAATATCTCGTCCTGTAGTAAAAAATCTATATGTGGAAGGTCTATAGGTCGAAATCCTTTTCGATTTATTCTAGCAGTTCTGTCTTATAATAATTACTTTAAATACTTTTCTTTTTGTCTTTAGAAAGTATAATTCCATTGGAGACAAAAAAAAAATTACATATTCTTCCTATTTATAAATTAATTTAATTAATCGACAATTATCATTATTTAAAATGGGTAGACGTTTTAAATTTATTATTCCTATAACAATTGTTACAATTTGTATTTCAATGTTATACTTCACAACATTAAATACTGATTATTCTACATTAACTACTTCTACATTACCATCTATTGATGGAACATTTTCTTGTAATACTTGGAAAAATTTTTCTTATATTAATATTTCAAAATATGAAAAATGTTTAAAACAAAAGCGTGATGATAGTTTTTGGTCTGTTGACAAAATACGTCATACAGCTTTTAAAAATTTATTAAATTCATCTTCACTTATTATTGAAATAGGTGGAAATACTGGACTTGATACATCTCAATTTATTACATTATATAATTCTTCGATAATTAGTTTTGAACCATTAGTAACAATGTCTGAAGCATTGAAGGAAAAATTTAAAACAAATCCAAAAATAGAAATTCAACCATATGGACTTGGTAATCGAGCAAGAAATTTATCAATTGAACTATTTGATAGTAATAATATGGGTACAAGTATTTTTCGAAAATTATCTTCAAAAAATTCATCAAAAATTCAACAAATTCAATTACTTGATATAGTTCAAGTTATTGAAAATATTCGAAAAACAAAAACAAAATATGGAATAATTGATATGATTAGTATTAATTGTGAAGGTTGTGAATTTGAAATTTTACCTGCTCTTATTCTTAATAATCTAACACAATATTTTCGTATTATACAATTTGCATCACATATGGGATTTTTAGCTGAATCACCATGTATATATTGTCAAATTGAACAAGCATTAGAAAGAACTCATCAAATCATATATCATTATACAATGTTATGGGAAGCTTGGGTCTTAAAAAGTAAAATGGAAAATAATATTTTATCTTAATAGTGAAAGATCAATCTTTATTATCAAATAATTGCAAGCAACCCAAGTAATTAAAACATTATAGAAAAAAAAAAATAAGCCGGTGTAATACAAAGTAATGCTTTAGAAGAACATTGATTTAACACAAATAAAAGAAGATCAAAAATCATTATATGGAATATTTATCATCTATCGTCATATACTGTTGCATAATATTAAACGAATGAGAACAATATTTTTTTTTCTGTCTTGTTTCTTTATTCTCTGTCAAATAGGAAAATGATTTAATGTATATTGTTAAAAAAATACATCTATAGTTTTTGAATGTGTTTGTAGCTCCCAAAAATTTTGTACTGAGTGAATAAGCTAGGATAACTATTACAAAGTGGAATATAACATATTAAAAACAAAAGTTAATAATAAAATAAACAATAAGCCGCACCGGTCACATTATCAAAAAAAAAAGATTTGTTTTATGTTCATTCTTCAGTTGCTCGATGACTACCACGTAATGGACCTCGTACAGGACTTCTATTAGCTGCATTCGTACCACGATCATTACGCGTAGATGGATTCGTATGTTGTTCATAACCAATTGCTGCACGATTTTGTGTTTCTAAAAAAACAAATTTGTCGATGCAGTTCCTTTGGAGATATATCCACATCTTTGTTAACAGTTATAGATTCTTTAAATAAGTCTCTTCTATAACATATAGAAATTTGGAATAGTTTTGTAATTCATTTGCATCATGAACTCTAGTCTTATTATACTAATATAAAACACAATCATTTATCTTGATAGGATCAGCATCACACTAATATTGATCAGTTGAAAATTTTTATGTTGTTTATATGATAATTGTGGCAAATCAATGCATTATCCTTGACATCTTGAATATAAATTTTTATCTGCCAAAAACTCAAAAACTACACTATTTATAGCATTCACAAAAATATTTCAGTCATTGAATATTCGAGAAGTGCTTTGGTATGTTCTAGATCAATCTAAGTCTTGTTGTTTATGTCATTCAACGCCTTTTCCCGTTGCTAAAGAACTCAAGAAAAGGGATTACATGAATTTCGTCCCGGGTCAAAATTCTGGCCACCCAGGAAAAGGAGTCTAATGTCTGCTGTTCTTGGTTGCTATGGAAATGTACCCAATCATCATTAGCCTTGCTTTGGGCAGGAGGAGCAGCGCAACATTTCGACTTGAAACTTACACTCACTATAGTCTTCTTCGTAAAAACATAATGTAAGTTTCATAAAATATCGATATCATTTTATGAAAATGATTTTTTCAGTTCTTATTTAAAAATAAAAACTTACGTAATGCAGGTGCTCGTCCACGTATATCTCTACCTTGTTGAATAGATTGTCTTGGTGCTGCATCTAAATATGGACTTGGCATATGTGCATCGGATCCTGTTAAAATCACTTGTTGCATATCAGGTAATTCAGCAAATGGCATATAAAATTCTCCTGTTGGTAATTTTTGTTGTTCACGTTCATTACCACGTTCAAAAAATGTTTCATGTTGTTCCCAATGAGTATTACAAGCAGCACATAAAAAATTTGAAATAAAATTACTACAACTACATTCTAAATAATAAAATAATTTTAACAAATATTTATAAATCGAAAAAAAAAGAAAACAAACCTTTACAACGTTTAAATTTCGGTTCATGTCGATCATGTGCATGACCACATTTACATTTAGCACGCCATGTTGATGCATCAAAACCTGGTCGTTTTGCTAACCAAAATTCTCCAGCTTCATCAGGTCGTGATGGAATATAAGCAAATGCATCACATGCACAATTAGCTGATTGACATTTTAAACGATTAGTTTTTCCTTTTTTGTATATTAAAAAAAAAAAAAAGAATAAATTGATAAAAAAGAAAAAGATCATTGAAGAAATAATACCAGTAAATTTAATATGTTCATTAAGTAAATGACCACAAAAACATTTTCCATTAGATCCTATTCGATAACAATCAAAATCTTTTCCTGGTTGTCGATAACTAATATAAAGATCTTGTTCAATAGCATCACGTGCTGCATCAATTTCACTTTGAAACATTGCTTTTGCTTTTGGAGCAAAATCATGATTCATTGCTCGAGCCATTGTTACCTTTGATTATAAAATATTTTTTTTTTTGTTTTTACAACAATAATTTTTACTTACAACATCAGCTCGTGCAGCTGGACGAATTTGTCTTGATGTATAACCTATATGAAATAAGAATAATATATTCAAAAAAAATAAAAATATTGACCGACCATCAGGAACCATCATGCCATTTTCTTCATGAAAACGAATTGGATTTTGTGCAACACGTTCTAATGCATTATTTCGAGAATTTGTCGGTACCAATGATCGATTACCTGAACCTATTATATGTTTTTGACAAAAAAAACAGACATAAAGATACTTACGTGGAACATCAACAGATGATGATCGATTTGAAGCAGATGGTCGCTGCTGTTGAGATCCTATCAACGTCAAATAAAAAGTTCGATAATGATAAGAATAAAACGAACTATTCAAGATAAATATGTAATTAGATAAAATACACAAAAAAACCGACACAACTATTCCTACTTTAACCTGGTGTCGAACGTTTGTTCATTGCTTGTGAGTTCTAATCAAATATTTAATTGTTTCAATAAGCAAAAAAAAATTACGATGATGAATGATCACCGCCATCTATCATTAAATTTATAAACTAACTTGTTACTAAGCACTGACCTCTGTAATGTGTTAGTTTTCTGAAATTTAGAATTTAAAGTTCGATTGTAATGAATCATTTTTCAATTTTATTTTATTTTTATTAATTAATATATATATTAAATAAATAATTAAGATTTCTACCAATCGTTAATATAAGAGCCGCATAAAATTATTTAACATAGGATTGGATATAAGCAGATAGTGTGATAAATCTATTGTTTAAATCATCTCATTTATTAGTATTAATTATTTATTTGATTGAGATCAATTGTTTTAGAAAAAAAGAATGCCATCTGTAGGTACACTTGCTTTCGATGAATTTGGCCGTCCAATACTCATACTTAGAGGACAAGAATCAAAAAAACGTCTATTTGGAATCGAGGCTCACAAGGTTATTATGGATTAATCATCCTTAATTGTTAAAATTTATTCTTGGCTTTCGTTTTTTTAGTCTCATATATTGGCAGCCAAAGCAGTAGCTAATACACTTAAAACATCATTAGGTCCACGAGGTATATTAGCAAATTTAATTTCAATCAATGATGTTTTTCATGATTTTATTTTTTGAAGGAATGGATAAATGTATGGTATCACCTGATGGTGATATAACAATAACGAATGATGGTGCAACAATACTTAGTATGATGCATGTTGAAAATGAAATTGGAAAATTACTTGTTCAATTATCAAAATCACAAGATGATGAAATTGGTGATGGTACAACCGGTGTTGTCGGTAAGTTTTTTTTTTTCAATAATTCTATCGGATAAGATAACCATCCTTCATTTGCAATGCCACGTATACTATTTTGTAGAACACTTCGTCGCGCATCAAATGGTATTTAAGAAATTGTTTTTTTCTTTTTATCAAATTATTTTTTGAGAAGTCATATACCAGTCAAAGGAATCTATATCAAAATACTTCAATAGAGCTTTGTCTCGTCTTGTTTATTTAATAATACTCGCGATTTTTTGAATTGTAGATTTTGTTCTCTGATATTTACTGTATAAATTGTTGGAAGTTTCAACGACGTGTTATCAAAACTTAAAGACATGAAAGAAAGTCAGAATCGAACAAACTTGACTTTGATTTTCTTTCATGTCCATAGATTTTGATAACATGTCGTTGGAACTTCAAAAATGCATCGGTTTATACAGTATAAAATCTACAATTCAATAAAATTTCCTATGCTAAAACGAAATTTCTAGCATAAAATTTAGTTGACTCTGAAATCGACTTTATGCAGAACTTCCTATTGCTTGGGCGTAGCACATGTCGAATACTTTCTCGTTATTGTTTTTTTTTATTTTCATTGCACAACAAATGAAAAAGAAATTGAAAATTAAACAATAAAATATATTTAGATGTTGTCTGCTTTCGAGAAAAAAAAATCTGATTTCGCAGGTTTCTATCCTTCAGAGATTTGACAGCGAAAAATTTTTACAAAAAATATTTTTCCTGCAAAAATGAATATACTTTTCTGTCTATAGGAATCGAAAAATTGGACATTGATTAGCCGTTATATCACTCATAATTGCTATAATATTCCTTAATTGATATATGTCTTCTCAAAACATAAAAACTTGATGAAAAAAAAAAAAATGAGTTGCTCTATAAAATGGTATAGGTAGTTTTTCAAATGAAGGGTCGTCAATTTATCCGACATGTGAATCTTTGTTATTTGATTTATTTTTTTTTTTGTTAATTAAAATAGTTTTGGCTGGTGCTTTACTTGAACAAGCTGAAGCATTACTTGATAAAGGTATTCATCCAATTCGTATAGCAGATGGATATGAATTAGCAGCAAAAATTGCACTTGATCATTTGGATAAAATAGCGGAATCTTATCCACTTGATTTAAAAAAACTTGATCCATTAATTAATACAGCTATGACAACACTTGGATCAAAAATGTAGAAAAAATTTCTTTTTTTTATTGTAAAACAATATATTTGATTTTTTTTTTCTTACTTTAATAAAGTATTAATCGATGTCAACGTCAAATGGCTGAAATAGCTGTTAATGCAATTATGAATGCTGCGGATATGGAACGACGTGATGTAAATTTTGAACTTATTAACGTTCAAGGTAAAGTTGGTGGTCGTCTTGAAGATACGATGTTAGTTAAAGGTGTTGTTGTTGATAAAACATTTTCACATCCACAAATGCCTAAAGTTTGTGTTTTTTTTGTTTTTTTTTTATTAATATCAATTTTAAAAAATTCTTTACTTGTAGGAAGTTCGTAATGCTAAAATAGCAATTTTAACATGTCCATTCGAACCACCAAAACCAAAAACAAAACATAAATTAGATATAACAAATGTTGAAGATTATAAAAAATTACGTGAATATGAAAAAGAAAAATTTATTGAAATGATTAAATCAGTATGTAAAAAAAACAACAACAATAATAATAAATATTTAAAAATTGAAATTTTATTTGAATAGATTAAAGATTCTGGTGCAAATTTAGTTATTTGTCAATGGGGTTTTGATGATGAAGCAAATCATTTACTTTTATCTCATGAATTGCCATCTGTACGTTGGGTTGGTGGACCAGAAATTGAATTAATTGCTATTGCAACAGGTGGTCGAATTGTACCAAGATTTCAAGAACTAACATCACAAAAATTAGGTTATGCTGGATATATACATGAACTTAATTTTGGTACAACAAGTGATCATATGTTATGTATTGAACAATGTGCAAAATCCAATACATGTACTATTTTTGTTCGTGGAGGCAATAAAATGGTAATTTCAATACTGTTATATATATATATATTCAGGAAATTAGGAATAGTGTCTAATATATGTGATGTTTTGATGACTCAAGCATATTTGTTTCTGATGTGAACAGATTGCGATTAAAGTGTGGCGCTTTATTTTGAATTGGATCTATATTAGTTAGTAGAACTTGATGAAACTAGACGAAACCTAAAAGGATCCGTCTCCATACGCTGTCCTTCTCGAGTTATATGATTGTTTTACTGAATTTTCAACCAGTGGCAAGGTATATATGAGAAAGTCGAATTACGAGATTTTGTCCATAGATAGATCTCGTGATTTTTAGAATATCCTAAAAATTTCCACCTAAAAGAATGCTTTTCTCTTGAGATATCGAATATTGAAGGTATTCGCTCTTCTGACCTTTTCTTGCGACACATAATCGTTTTTCTGGGTTACTCAATATCTGCAGAAGAGAACATTCTAAAGACTATGAGACCTATCTATCGGCAAATTCTCATAGTTTGATTTTCTTATATATACCTTACTAGATGTCGAAAATTCAGTAAAATAGTCATAACTAGAGAAGGGCAGCGTATGAGGACGAAACTTTTTATGTGTCGTTTAGTCTCATCAAGCTCTACTATCCGATTTAAGACGATGCGTCACACTTGGAGATTTTCCCTCGTAAGCTAAATATAGATGAGATCATTTTCTAAACTTCTTAATTATCTGAAACTGCTGAATGACTCAAGAATGGTTTTTTTCTATAAACATATGTAAATTTAGATTGTTGAAGAAGCAAAACGTGCTTTACATGATGCATTATGTGTTGTAAGAAATCTTGTACGTGATAATCGAATTGTTTACGGTGGTGGTGCATGTGAAATATCATGTGCTATTGAAGTTGCAAAAGAAGCAAATAAGGTTCGAATATAGATTAATATTCAATTTATTTTTGTTCTATAATTTGTTTGTTATATAGATTCCTACAATTGAACAGTATGCTATTCGAGCATATGCTGATGCACTTGAATCAGTTCCATTAGCATTAGCTGAAAATAGTGGTTTTTCACCAATAAAAATAGTATCTGATGTTAAATCACAACAAATAGCTCAAAATAATTCACGATTAGGTATTGACTGTCTTAATAAAGGAACAAATGGTAAGTTTGATTTATTTTTTTGATAAATAAATATATATAATTTTTTATTTTTATTTTTGATTTAGATATGAAAAATCAATTAGTTATTGAAACACTTATTGGTAAAAAACAACAGATAAGTTTAGCAACTCAACTTGTCCGAATGATTCTTAAAATTGATGATATTCGTTTACCAGGTGAATCTGAAGAGTAATGTTTTTATCGCAAGGCGTAGCTCTTTTTTTTTTTTGTTCTTTTTTATTTCGAACTTGTTGTTATTGATTGTTAAGTTTTTTTTTTCTTGTTAACGAACAAAATTCTTGATGATTCTTTTGTATTACTTCGCTTGATAACAACATTTAACAAAAAAAGAAATGAAATAATAACTACATGAACAAATCGATTTAAATACTGCGTTGGATATTTAACTGATAGTCATGTGCTATGCACATCGCACTGATATAAGAGGTCATAAGCCTTTGGCTTGATTCCACTCCAATATGAGTATGTTTGCTTTAGCTATTTATATGCATTTTAGATTAATATTCTTTATCACAATGGGTTCTAATGCAAGTATTATGCTTCAACAAGATGACTTACAGAATATTTGTCAACAGACAGGTTAGTTGATAAAAGCATTTAGATCAATGACTTTTTCATTGATGATTCAGATATGAATTATTCTTTTCATAGAGAAGATTTTTATGAAAAATTGTATATAACACATAATATAGAAGTCTCTTTCGAGAATATATTCAAAATCTTAAGATTATCAAATGAGATTTTGATAAGAAAAATTCTTTATTTTTCCTTAATATATTTGCCAGCGGCATACATATCATCATGTCAAATGTTTGATGAAATATTAAACTATTAATTTTCTAAGTCATTGAACTTTATAATCAGAATTGATCGAGATGAATAAAATTATATGTTTCATTTCGCATGAATATTATTATGAATCATATAGAAACAGACTTTTTTTCTTCATTTTTTGGTATATTTATATAAAACTGAAGGCATCTTTTATTTCTATATTATTGACTAAAGGATTAATTATTCTATCGAATTACATAGTTACTTTTTTCGCAATATACTAACATTTTTTTTTTTGTATATAATCATGAAAATTATTTATCGATATTATAGATTATAAAATATTCATAGTAAAAAGACAATAAATTTTTCACTTTCGAACAATTTCTATTAGTTAAAATTTTTCAATATATGATTTAGGTTTTGCTGTTAAACAAGTTCAACGTTTATATAGTCGTTTTAAAACATTAGATAAACGTGATTGTGGATATTTAACACGTGAAAATCTTTTATGTATTCCAGAAGTTAATATTAATCCATTAGGTGAACGTTTAATTGATGTTATTATGGAAGATTATGGTGAAAATAATCAAATTAATTTTAAACAATTTATTTTTCTTCTTGCAAAATTTCGACGTGCTAAATTTAAATCATCAATTACAGAATATAATACACGTGATAGTAAACTTCGATTTTTATTTGATGTAAATTATTAATTAAAAGAAAAAAAGAAAAATGAAATAATATTTGTTTTTCTAACTTTCTATTTAGATGTATGATAGAAATCATGATATGAAAATAGATCGAAATGAATTACTTGAAGTTCTTAAAATGATGGTCGGTGGAAATATACATGATGATCAAATAGCAACAATTGCTGATCATACAATTAATGAATTAGTATTTGAATATAATATATAAACAAAACAAAAAAACAAAATGTTGATTTTCTTTTTTAGGATACAGATGGAGATAAATCAATAACATTTGAAGAATTTTGTAAAACACTTGAACGAATTGATGCTGATGATAAAATGAGCATGAAATTTTTAAGTTAAATTTCATTTATATTATTGAGATAAATATAGATATATATTATAGATAATATCTATTTTTATGTATTTTTTTCTTTTAACAGATATATATTGTTTTTGTAAATTGTATTTATTGTATGGAATTATTTGTTAGAAAAAAAAAAAATTTAGTCATTAGTATATGAGAAAATATTAATTTATATATTTGTCTATTTGAGATAAGTCATCAGATGGGTCCAAAGAAACAACAAGAAATATCGACAATGCGTCGATTATTTGGTTTTGAATTAGCTGATTTTCAATCATGGTCAAATTTTGTTAAACTAATGAATCGTCCAGAAGATCCAAGTTCATTAGCTGCTTTGCGTATTTTATTTGGTATGAATAAAAAAAGAACTATATAGAAATCATGATTCTAGTTTATTTTGATAATATCAAATTTGTCTTAGTTTTTCTAAGGACAAGAGACAAAGATATCAAATTAATTAAAGAGTAGTACAAGCTTTGCTTGTTTTGTGCATCGTCAATCATTTTCTTTGCTAGATGATTTTAGAAATTTATTATCTATGAATAGAAAATGTCACTCTAGTTCTCTCGTTCTTTTTTGTTATTTCAATCAATGAAAAACAAAAAAAAAAATTCGCTTAGTATTGTTGTAGTTTTATTTTTCCTATAGAATCAAATTTTCTTTTTCTTCATTCTATTGAATTAATTATTTCTAGGTATTTTGATGATGTTGGATATTCCTCAAGAACGTGGTATGTCTCATGCTGATGTTTATTATCCGAATGAAGATAAAGAATGTCAATTTCCATTATTCAATTTTCTTGAACCACTTCGTGCTGAATACATGGTTGTCGTATATTTCATTATGTTTCTCAGTATGATTTCGACATTGTTTGTTTTGAAAATTTTAAATTCTTATATTTTAAGGTGCTATTGGTATCACATTGGGTTTATTTTATCGTTTAGTAACAATATGTTTTACAATAACATATTGGTATGTTTTTTTTCTTGATAAAACATCATGGAATAATCATTCTTATTTATATGGTTTAATTGGTTTTCAATTAATGTTTTCTGATGCACATCATTATTGGTAAATGTTCGTATATTTTGTTCTAGTTCAAATAACATATAGTGATGTTAAATAAGTAAAACAAAAAAAAAATTTTATATTTTTTATTTTATAGAAAAAAAAAAAACTCAGAATATTAAATATCAGTGAGTGATGTTTTTCCTCTTATATTAAATAATTCATTTGGGCTAAACAAATCAATCATAATCATTTTGATTTTTTTTTTTTGTGCACATAGTTTCTTCTTCTGGTTGAAAATTCATTGTTTTTTTTTTATTTTGTATTATTATAAAATTATAAACAAAATGTTTTTTTTTTTTTTTATGATGTAGGTCAATTGATGGATTATTTCGAAAGAAAATTCGAAATTCACATGTACCTTTATGGAATTATACATTAATTCGATATCAAGTATTTCTTGTTTATTTTATTGCTGGTTTGAAAAAAACTGAATGGGATTGGGTTGCTGGATATTCAATGGATTCATTAGGTGATCATTGGGTATTTTCACCATTTCGGTAGATAATAAAATTGAATATGTAAATAATTAATGGAAATATTTTTTTTTGTTTTGCTTAGAACATTTTTGACCATAGAACAGATTACTTTAATTATTGTACATGTTTGTGGTCTCTTCTTTGATTTATTAGTTGGTTTTGCACTTTTTTTTGATCGTTCACGACCAATTGGAATTTTCTTTTCAGTTACTTTTCATTTAATGAATTCTCAAATGTTTAGTATTGGTAAATCAATTCTATGAATATAAAAATTTATTTAAAAAAAAAAATTAATTTTCTATTTAAGGTATGTTTCCATATACAATGCTTGCGACAATTCCAATATTTTTTCATAATGATTGGTTACGAAAATTTTTAAATCGTTTCGTACCAAAATTTTTATATAAAGTAGAACCAGTACAATATAGTTCATCATGTTTATATTCAAAAGAAGAAATTAAACCAGAAGAATCAAAAACTCAATCATTAAAATCAGCAATTGCAAATGCTAATTCAATCAAAAATGCACCAACTAAACCAACATTTCGTCATAAAATTTTTACAATTTTTGCACTACTCTATCTTACTGAACAAGCATTTTTACCTTATTCACATTTTATTACTAAAGGTTATAATAATTGGACTAATGTAAGTTGATTCAATGAATTTATTTTGATGTAAAAAAAAAAAAACTTTCTTAGGGTCTATATGGTTATTCATGGGATATGATGATACACAGTTGGCATACGTAAGAATAATTATTATCTAATTTGTATCTATTTTAATCTATTTTTAAAAATAGTCAACATGTAAAAATAACATTTATTGATAAAACTACTCAAGAACCTCATTATTTAAGACCAACAGCATGGGCATCAGCAAAACGATGGAGTTCTCATGCTGATATGATTGGTAAATAATTTTCATAAAAGAGAGAGAGAGAGAGAAAAAAAAAAATCTTAGACATGTATAATCTTTATTCTAGTTCAATATGCTCAATGTATAAAAGGAAAATTAAAAGAACATGGTTATGATGATGTTGAACTTCGTTTTGATATATGGCGTTCAATGAATGGACGATTTAATCAACGACAAATTGATCCACGTATTGATTTACTTTCATCAGATGTTAAATGGAGTCCATTTAAAGAAACACCATGGTTACAACCATTATTAACAAATTTAAGTGATTGGAGAACACGTATGTTACAAATTGAAAATGATTTATCAAGTAAAGATCAAAATGTTCTTGTTACATTTGTTGCTGATTTTCCAGGTAGAAATAAACAAAAAAATTTTTTTTTTCTTTAAAACAAAAACAAAAAATATTTTTAGGTCTTTTTCTTGAAAATTATATACCACCAGATTTAAATACAACTATTGAAGTACTTGAAGGTGAAGTTATAGTTGAATTAATAAGTTTAAAAAAAAATATTACTTTAAATGTTGGACAAAATCTAACTGTACCAAATGGAGATTATCATAATGGTTTGTTTTATTTAATTTTTTGATTGTTCTTTAATTTTTGTTCTATTTTATAGTTTATACAGTTTCATCAACACCTTCATGTTATATGTATGTTTATTTAAATCAATCTGATGCTGATATTGTTCATTTATGGGATCGATTTTATAATTTAACAGATCGTTTACTTAATGAAACAATTGATTATAATCGTCCATTACATAGTGATAAAGAAGAAGCTGATCTTGTTCGTTTATCATATGAAGATGTTTTTGAAAAATTACGTAATAAAACACTTCATGAATTATTAGAACTTCCAAATGATTATAAAATACATAATAAAAATGAATCAAATATAAATTGGACTAATATTCGTTTACAATTTGAAACAAGTATGAATCGATCAATGGTTAAACGTTTAGATACTAAAGTTAAATGGCATGAAAGAAATCTTCGAATATTTAAATCATTTATGAATAGAAAAAAAAAACAATTCTTACGATGGTAAAGTATTGAAAAATTTTTTTTATTAAGATTCAATAGAATGATCTTGTTAAACTATTACTAAATTTCTATATAAAAGTTCATAATAATAAAAAATCTTGAATTCAAACATCCAAGATTAAGTGTAGAATATTTTTGAACTCATCATAAATGAGACTAGAAAAAGTTTACAAACATAACAAGTCCATAGATCTTTCTTCTCAATATATGATCATATTACTATAGTTACTACCTATAACGAAAGATTTAGCAAACAATCGGAATTCTGTAATTTTTTTGTTTGATGAATTTATTAAAATGGTCATATGGTGAGAAGAAAGACCTATAGGTTTCTTATCCTTATAGGCTTTTGTAGCTTTATTGGATCTATCTTATCGGCAAAATAACAGTACCTAGATTTTGAATTACTTCGGACGATTTCCTCACTTGTCAAAGACTTGTCCAAAGTTTATCTTTGAAATTATTTTCCATTGACTTTTTAGAATATTTATATATATATATATTATCTATTCAACTACAATACTTTTTTCACAAACGCACATTCTAGCACCTTGTAAAGATATGTTTAATTAAAAATCTTCAACTAAAATGTCAGATTAGTTTGTTTTCATTTCATCTTAATGTATAGATATTGAATTGTATTAGTTTGTATCATTCTCTGAACCTTTGCATTTCTATGCTAAAGTTAATCCAATCAATTTAACTTTTTAATTCGCTTGCATAATAGTTTTGAGGAAGATAATATTCTCTCGAAGAATAGTAATCACAAGCAGAATAATTTTATGATAAAACTAGTCTCTTAATTCAATTACATTTTTTTGTTTTTGATTGTTCAAATTCGTTTAGAATTTGCTTGATAACTGCCATTGATTGTTTTTTCCTGAAATCAAAATAGGAGTTACTAAAACCTTTTTTGTTTACAACAGCGACACGATTCTATTGTATTTGACATTTGAATCTCATAAGAACTGCATATGGTCACTAATAAATTATTTTATTGTTTATTTTTTTTTTTGTTCTAGTTATCAAATTGTCAAATTGGCTTTTAAGAGTATTTTCTATCAAACAGATTTTTTTCAATTAGTTGACAATGAAATTCGTAATGTTGATGAAGAAAGTACAACAAATGCTATTATTACTGAAGAATCTCCTCCGCAAACTTCATCAAAATCATCATCTTCTTCAAAGAAAACTTCATCAAGTGCTAAAACAAAAAAGAAAAATACAAAAAAATAAACATTTTCGAATCTTATCAAAAAAAAAAAACAAAACAAAAGAATTAATAAAATTCTCTTTCTCATAAGATAGTGATCTTTTCTTTTTTTTTTTTCTTCGTTTCTTATTTAATCGTATTATATTTTCCATAGTTTTAATTATATTCTTAGAAAAGTGAATTTGTTTTTTTTTTCTCGTGGTTAAGAATAAGACTTGTTTCATGTTTATGTTATATCAAGAATAATAATAATAATAATAATAAAAAAACAATTACAAAAAAAAAAAAATTAATATATTCGAATGTGAACAAGTATAGTTAGTTAGTTCTTGGTGTTGTCGACTTTTTTCTTCTGTTTTTTATCGTTTATTGGTAATGGACTATTAATAAAATTGACAAGATCATCAATATTTTCACTACCACGATGACCAGGAATTAATTCAGCAGATGTAGTAGTTTGTTTTTTAGTTTTTTTAGTTTTTCGTTTATTTCCTATTGCATTATTGACAGGTGATGTGGATGAATATAAATTATTTAGATTGAAAAATGATGGATCATTATGATTATGTGTTGGATCATTACATGTATGAGAATGTTCATGAATTGGTGTGGATTCTGCTATTGAAGTTTTTTCTTCGACTGATGTTGTGATATTTTCCTCATTTTTATTTTCAGTGTTAATGGAAGCCATGGATTAAATAATATCGTATATTCTTGAGCAAATATGGTCTAGAAAAAAAAAATGACAAATTTTTGTCACAAAAATTCGAAAAATAAATATTTATATTTTTTTGTATTGTTGGAATTTCCATATCAGATAATAAATTTTGTTAATCTTTTTTTCAATGGTCGAATTCGATAACCATAATTAACGAAATGATGAAAAGAGGTCGCAAGTAATTGGATATATGTGATTGGAAGAAAACCAAACCAAAACAATGAATATCATAAATGATAACTTCTTTTTTTTTTCGATGAGAAAAAAAGAAAATTGATTTTCTTTTTAGATCACAATGGGTGATAGCGATGATGATTTTGATAATCGACGAAATCGTGATAAATTTCGTCGTGAACGTGATGATTTTGGTGGAAATCGGGGAAATACTAATCGTAATAGTGGAGAATGGAATGATGGAAGGTAAGAATAATATGTTTTTTTTGCTTAAAATTAGAATTTAGTTTTTCTTATCTGAAAATAGTTGAATATTTCATTTTCTTTTTGTTTTTAGGGATCGATCAAATCAATTTCGACGACAATATCCTAGTGGCCCATTACTAGGACGTGATTTTCCACTAAGATATAATCGAAGTCCTGCTAGATATGATATGAGTCCACCACAAACTAAACGTTTTCGACGTGATTGGTAAAAACTAATGTTTTTTTTTTTAATTTTCTATTAATAAAATCTTTTTATTCTTTATTAGGGAAGGTCCTGATCAATCACCATCTCGTTTTGATCCAACTATTAGTTCACCATATCTTTCTAGTGGAGGAGGTTTTCATCCGACTTTACCATCAAATATTCAACCGACTACTGATCAGTTGAATAGGTAAGATTTTCTTTTGTTTACATATATTTATATATTCTTCTATATGATAATGTTTATTGTTTCATAGAGAATCATCTGATAATACAACACAACCACCATTACTTAGTTTTAAAAATTTTCTTCTCGATCAAGATGATAATATTGATCAAGAAGAAGCTGTTAAACGTTATAATGATTATAAAACAGATTTTAAAAAAACTCGAATAGCTGAATTTTTTACCGGACATAAAAATGAAGAATGGTTCGTAAAAATTGTTCTTTGAAAAATTATTTACAATGAAAATTTAAAATTTTTTATATCAGGTTTAAATATAAATATCATCCAGATGAATATCCAAAACGTCGTCAAGAACAAAAACAAATAATTAAAAAACGTTTGGAAATTTTTATGGATCTTTATAATAAAGGTTATCTGAATAATATTAGTGTTGATATTGAAAATCAACATGCACTTATAAGATTTCTTGATACTGGTATGATATATTCATTTAATATATATCAATAGTCGTAATAGTAGGACGGATATGATCGTCAAGATAATTTGAGTTTAATAGTATTCCATATTTCATTATTATTAATTGAATGGATGGGCTATATAATGAATGACTACGTTTTATGTCTTATTTTCTTCATCATCTAATACGCCTAGGAATATTCCGGGCAAGGGGAAGGTTGATTCTTCCAATCTTGAAAAAATTTCGTGTTTCTTCAGCATTTTATGACTTTATTACGAATGGATTCTCAAGAAAACGTTCAATCTTCCTCCAATCCTGGCGATATTTGGTTAAAAAAACAATATATCACGAGATACAACATGAAAAGTTCTACAATCTATAAAACAGTTTATTTTATATATGCACTTTTAATTTTTAAAATAGACAAAATTCTATGTAATCAATTTTTTGAACACTGAGAACAAGATCGATTTTTTTTAGTACGCGACGAATTCCTTTTCTTATTTCATCAAATCATAGTTCTAATGTTCCTCTTTTGCATATTATTGTCAATAGTGTCTCACACATAATAATTTAGAGCATTGACATCGGAATTATTTAGTGGTTAATTGTGATTATTTATGAAATTTTCACATCAGGTCAATGATTCTTGATGTGTATGCGGTATGACGTTGTTTTGTTGATAGATGAAATCATCATCTAGTAGAAGTTGACTTTGAACTTGTGTATGTGATTGAATATTTTCAACATAATTCTAATCTGATATAATGTTTCACGAGGCTTAAATATAATTGTAGATGTAAGGTTATTTTTCGACGCTCCTAACTACATCAAAACTCTTTTTAGGATGACAATAGAATGAGCGAGAAAAATATAATCAAAACATATCGATTATTCTAAAATTGACTATTTGATGAAGACTTTCGATATAACTTATTTAATTGAAGAACTAAGAAAAGAAATCCATCGTCTACGAAAAAAACAATCTTGTTTGCAGTGTCACACAGAATTTTGTCTATTTTAAAAATAAAAGTCCATATATGAAATAATCTTCGCATCGTAACTTGTAGAACTTTTCAGGCAGTATCTTGTGATATATTTTGTTTTTTAATATAAAGTATTAGATGATACAAAAAAAAAGCAGTCATTCATTCTGGTCCATCTGTTAAGTTAATCGACTTGCTTCATATTTTCAACATTTTCTCGCTACCATTTAGAACATCTTTCAACAGTCTTGAAAGATAGAGCCTGATTACCTAAAATAGATCATCATGAATAAATTTTGCTTAAATATGCAACATTAGTATAGAAGCGAAAATTTTTCATTATGCATCTAAAACAGCTGTAAACAGTTTCTTCTCGAGATTTTATTATTCAGACATTAATTAAAGAAAGACGAAATATTAAAAAAAAAATAGAAAGCCGTGTTTGTGCTATCAATATTTAAGAGAGAAAAAATTTTCTTCGTACTGTCTACATGGTATTAAAATACCACCGCTATTTCTTGTTGAGTGTATTAACACAGATATGTATTTTGAAAAATAGCTTTCAACAATTTTTTTTCTTCTGCTTATACATAGCTGTCATCAAAATGGAAGGTGGAAGTGATCAGGATCTTCGTGTACTTGATGTTAGTGGATCAGCAAATGATGAAACTAATTCGAAGAAATCATCTGATAATAAAGTAATATATTTAAAATTTATTGAAAAACAAGAAATTTCTTTTTATTATAAATTTTTTAGAGAAAACGTGAAGATAGTAAATCTGATGATGGAACAGTATCTGATGGTGATAATGTATCATCGATTCGTAAGTTATTCTTAATTATTATTTTATTTATTTATAATTTTCTTTATAGTTGAATCAAAAGATAATAATGAAATAAAATCATCTGTACAAGATAATGAACATGAAGCTGGTGAAGTACCTGATGCACCAAGATCATTACATCGAACATCATCAATATTTTTTCGTCATTTACCTACGCAAACAACAAAAGATGATCTTGAAAATGTATAAAATGATTTTTTTTTTGTGTCTTTCAAAATTTTCCATTTAATTTAGATTTGTAAACAATATGCTGGTTTTCGTCGTGTTTGTATAACTGATCCTGCACCTGAACGAAAATTTTTTCGTCGTGGTTGGGTTACATTTGATCATTCAGTTCAAATTCGTAATATTTGTTATGAATTTAATCTTACTAAAGTACATTTATTTCTTAAAAAAACAAACTAAGCTTCATCTGTTCCCTTTTTTTTGATAGGTACATGATGTTGATGTAGGTGCTATAATAAATCGTGAACTTAAAAATCGTGTTCGTACAATAAATGGTATTGCACATCATAAAATTATTGTACGTAATGATATTCGACTTATAACAAAAATTGTCAAACAATTAGATGAACGATGGAATATTTGGGAATCAAATGAAAATGATCATAATGAAAAAAAGACTACAATAACAATTTCATCAATAACAGATGATACTGAAATTTCATCATCAACAATGAATACATCATTAATTCAAAATAAAAATCCTATTGGTTTTGTTAGTTATAATCCATTATTAAAAAATATAACTAAATATCTTGTTGAAGAAGGTGATGCTGAAGAAGAAGAATTACTTGGTGATACATCAATAACTAATCAAAATAATTCAAATACATTTGAAACTGATAAAGAATTAACAAAAGTAATAAAATTAAGTAAATTGATGATATTTTTTCTATTTTAATATATTTCAAAGGTATTAGATCGTTTAATTTTATATTTACGTATTGTTCATTCAGTCGATTATTATAATGGTACTGAATATGCTCAAGAAGATTCAATGCCAAATCGTTGTGGTGTTATACATGTACGTGGTACATCATTATCTTCAATAACACAAAGTGAATTAACAAATTTTATGCAACAATTTGAAACACGTCTTAAAACATTGATTGATTTTCATGAAAAATTAGATCATGATGAAGCTTTAAAATTAGGTGCAAAAAATGAAGAAAATGAAATAGAAAAATTTATTACTGCAAATTGTCAAGAAATTGGTAAAGATAAATGGTCATGTCCATTAAGTGGAAAGAAATTTAAAGGTCCAGAATTTGTTCGTAAACATATTTTAAATAAACATCAAGATAAACTTGATGAAGTTAAAAAAGAAGTAAGAATTTTAAAATTTATTAAAACAAAGATTTCTTCGAATAGAAAATAATTTTTATTTAGGTAATTTATTTTAATAATTATTTATATGATCCAAAACGACCACAATTACCAGAGCATCCATCAAATCGACCTGGAGCAACACCAACTGGACCAAATGCATCTGGTTTACCATTACCAACACCAATGCCCGCTCAACCATTACTTACACGCACTCCGATATGGCCTCCTTGTATGCCAATACAATTTATTTATTGATAGAAAAACTTTTTTATTTGAATTTTAGTGTCTGCACCTCTTCATTCTGGTCCACCAGGTTACTATCCCAATCAATTTCATCACGCTCGTCATCCAAGACCACCATTTATGTTTCAAAGTGTCGGTGGACCTCATGGTGGTGCACTTCATCGACCACCGTAAGTTGTTTGTTTTTTTTTTCGATTTTAAGAAAAGGCAAAATCTATGTGGTAGAAAACAACTATTATTTATTTATATATATATTTACTTTTATTCTATTACTCTGTTTCATGTTTTCTTTTTTCATTTTAGAAGTAATCGACCATTAAGGAGTTATGAAGATCTAGATGCACCGAATGAAATGTAACTTTAAGTTGTCAAATATTTTGAATGAATTAAAAGAATATGCTAATGATGTTGTTGATGTGTTTGTATTTTTTCTCACGTTTCTTCAATGTTATATGAACAAGGTCATGAATCTCTTGTTTTTTTTCTTGCTGTACAACTGTCTTCATGTTCTTTTTTTTTGTGTTTGTTTGTGTCTGGTAATCATATCGAATTTACAAGTCTATAAAATATATAAGTAAGCACAGAATTTCAAGAATATTCCAAGCCGATTTTGAATGTCAATATGGATTTGATATGAGAAACAATTTGAATATTAGTTTCTAGTAACAAAGTTTTCTTTTTTTTAACATCGAAATTCAAAAAGAAAATTTCAGAATACAATCTTCGAGTAGTACATCAATAAAAAAGCAGTCGAGTTGTGCTAAAACTATAATGCTTACTATTGATCAAGTCTATCTATTTCATAAATGCTCAGGAAAGTATATTAAAGAATTATTAATCACACTTATGCTATTTAAATTCTAAATGGATAAAAAAAATCATAGATCCACCATGAATGAAAATGAATTAATATATGAACTAGCAATATGGTAAATAAATGATTCGATTTCGAGAATTTAATAAGATTATTTGAACTTATAGTTAGAACTTTAAACATGGAAGAGCTGATTGATAAAACTTTTTTACAGTATTCAAATAATTTTTGAAGTCAATTGGATTGGTGTATAAATCTGAGGAATGTAATGATGACAGGTTGTGGAAAGCTGCAGAGCCCCACATTGAGAAAGTTTTCATTTTTTTCCCGTTCAAAATCAATTTTTCCATCAAAAAAAAGAAACATTCATGGAAGGAGAAAAATTTCTTCATCACCCGAATCATTTAAAAAAGTTTGTATTCGCACTTCTCCATAGTTCTCAGGAAATTTCTCTAATACGACCATTTCCCTACACGCCTGTTTTTTCTCTTTGTCACATTCCTGCCAAATCTTGACAATTTAAATCAATGTTATCTTTTCATTTTTGTTTATTAAAATTATTTTAACGATGCTAAAATCGAATCGAAAGTATGAAAATTAAGTTGATTGTGTCAAAGGTCCAATTATTATTTAACAATACTTGATATAACGGTCATGCTTTGACGAAACTTTTATGACTTCATTGCAAGCATATTACGATATCTGCGTTTATTTAGTTGCTTTTGGCTACGTTAGAAATCCTTTCTATGTGGAGTCCTATTGATAAATGATTTCTCGAACTTTACCTATTATATGTTCTTTTTTTTCGATATGACTTGTTATTGTAAAGAGATAAGGACGCAGCACTGTTACACGATGTTCACGCAAATCTCTCTCTTTTTTCCTCCTGTCAATCTAGTTATATTTCATGTATGTTAATTCTTTTTTCTCTTTTCTTTGTCTGTTTCTCTCACTAATACATTCCATTGTTTCGATTTTACCCAAAATCTTTATTATTTGACTGTTCTTCTTCTTATTCGCATTTCGTCAGTCACTATTCTATTTTGTAAACCACGTTTTTTTATTTTTCCTCGATGTTTTCTTTATTTAATCGAGTTGAATCTCATATGAAGCAGCCTACACTATGAACTAGCCAATACCACCAAATTGTAATGTTGTTAACGTATGATTCTGTTTTCTAATCAATCATTTTGTCTTGAGACTTATGGAAATACGAAAATATGTCTTTACGGTAGTAAGTCATATAGCAGAAAACCAGTATATACAGATGACACAGTCCACCAAAAACGAATGTTATCCTTTTCTTTCTTATATTTGTAGATATTGCTACTCAACATAGACTTTTGTTTCAGATTTCTATTACAGATACTATATCTCTCAAATCCACTGATCACTGGGTTTCAATAATAGAGGTAATTTTGTTTTAAGTTCCTTTCTTCCTCTAAAAATATTCAGTGCAATCAAGTCTGATTAAGGCAGATTAACTAGGATAATACTAGAAGATATTTTTATATTGTCAAAATATTGGTTTATTTATTAAAAGGATTCTGACTTTTACAGCCCTAAAAGATTTTCATTCTGTACTATTCAAAGTAATGGGATTTTTGTTTAGATAATTGTTAATGCTAACTTCATGAAAATCTGATGATGACCATATTTCCACAAGGGAAAAGAGTGAACATTTATTAAAATATACGTATGAATCAATAATCTTACTATATACAATAAATGGATTAATCTATGAAATTTCATTATTTCAATCGCAAGGACTATATTATATAGGCCAATAGATGTTATTTCCAGCTTCTACTACTTACATCGTTATCACGATTTAATAAGCTACGACTACACGAAAAGAAACAAAATTTCTATCTTTTAAAACCATAATTTAAGTCTCAAGATTCAACACGTATCCAATTTTTTCTAAAATGATTATGTTCACTGTTCAAACATAGTATAACCTATCTAATTTTGGTCTGTTAATCACCTCAATCAGTTGGAGTAATCTCTAGTGTATGTGTAGTCGGATTTACAGACCATATATATTCAAAAGAGATATTCCCGTCATAATCCTTGCGATTTATCCATACAGTAAGGAAACCTTTACTTTAATTTGCCATTATTTTCAGAACATTCTTTCTACATTGTTATTCACTTTTGGTTAAGAGAAGAAATCTGTTTCATATTGATTTATTAAAATTTTTCAACTTTAGTTTGCAAATACAACCTGCAATAGTTAAAGAATAAAACATAAGATAATTCTAAGTTATATGTGATTTCGATTGTTACGTTCTATGCACTATTCGAAATGTTGCTTTTATTGTTAATCTATTCTTTTATCTATATTTACGCATGTAAATGTGTGTTAGTCAAAACGTGTTCTATTCATTTTCTACAATATTTACTTTCTTAAACCTTGCTTAAATCTTCTTTTTGAATACAATAGCAAGCCTTTTAAATTATTCTTGGAGTAGCGATGTTAGTGATATTGTAACTTCTGTTCTTGTATATTTATTTTGCATGATTTTTTGCTTTCCAAGACTGTAGTTTTTATTTCGAGCAAGAGCCATGCAATGAATATCATAATTTTGAATACTGGTCGTATGAATTAGTGATTAAAAAAATATTTTATTTAACGATCTAAATAGGGCACAATGTGCATATGCCATATTTTCTTAGTAGAGTTTGGAACACTTTTGGTAGCGAACCATTCCAATTTAGTGTACATGGTTGGTCATTAACTGCATTATTCAAATCAAGAAAACGACGTCATCAGACAGAACGGCTGTCTATGAAAAAATACAATCAAACTGAATGAACTAAAAGATCGTTTTATAGTCACTTGAAATGACATATTGCATGGTTAAAATTAACATCCTGTGCATTTTTTTATTAAAGTACGAATGATTATAGGGTTCACCACACAATACACACGCATATGTTATTACCTATTGTGTTTTTTATTTTTTGAACCGAATGGTAGGATTTCCTATTGTGTGTTTCGAATTGATTTTTTTCAAAAATGAATCTTTTGTAATGTTTTATGGGATTATTTCAGATAAATCTAGTATGAAAGAAATATATATAGGAGTATAATTTTTTTTTGCTGTTTTTGGAAAAATTAGAAATTCAAAGGAATTTTCGTGGAAATAGGAGAAGATGAATTACGAAAGTAGTTTGAATTAAAAAAGAGAAAAAAAAAGAATTGTTGGGACAAAATGATTTCAATGAATCAAATAAAAGAAATGGAATAGAAATGGAAGCACGTAAATTAAGGAAATGTAAAGAAATAGTTTATTTTGATAGAAAAAAAAAATTGTATAAAGATAGCAACGCGTTTCGAATGTTTTCTTCTTCAGGCTATTTGTGGTTCATTGTCGTATATACATTGGGGTGTATACATTGGAAAAAAAATTGATTCAAACATATGTAAAAAAAAATATATATATAATTGATCAAATTGATCCACGTATGTGTGAAAATATATATACATGATTAAGTTGAATATTCAGCAGTATATATAAATATATATGCGCGCCATGGGATCATTTTTTATGTTGAATGAGTTGTTTGTATGATTTTTTCTGGTGATCTTGTAGGAATGCATGATGTTTTCTGATGATCTTGTAGGAAGTCCTGCTCAAGTACGTGATCACACATTAGTTGATAATATATTGGGAATGCGTTTATAACATTGAACAATACATGTTATGTTGTGCCAGAAATTAATGATGTACAAAAAAAGTTTTTTAATGACGTGCAAAAATAAATGATGTAATGTGTTTGTTATATCATGATGTGTGTTTTTCATTGATAGATTCGAGAGAAGTGGATAAAAAATAATAAATGATGTAATGTATTTTGCTATATTGATAGATTCGAGAGAGAAGTGGATAACAATGATGATAGGGAAAAATAGGTATATTAAGGAATGTAGCATAAACGATTGATAATAATATGTATATTACTATGTATATTAAGGAATGTCATAGTTAATCATTAGAGTTTATGATGTATTAGTTGATTTGGATGTTGAAGTTTATGTGGATAGAATTTGATTAATTGTCGACTTGGTAAACATGGATGATGGAAATATTTCTCATTCGTTATATGTTTTGCTATATTTTTTGTATAGTTTACTATAAAGGGTTGTGTAGAATTAAGCTGTACTTGCCCGGTAGTTGTTTTAGCTTGCTGTTGTTGTTGTGATGATGATGAATTGGTTAAATTATTGTTGTTGTTATTATTGTTCTTCTATTATGTTGTTGTTGTTGTAGTTGTTGTACAGTTGTTTTGGATACATGCATTGCTTGCTGAGCAAACCATTGCTGTTGTACATTTTCAAATTTTTGTCGACCAGATGATAATGTGGGGTGCAGACCATCTTGTACTCTTATGTCTTCTGTTTGTAATTTTGCATCAATCACATCAATATTTATTTCTTTTGATAATACATATAATCGATCATTAAATTCATGATGAAGATTTGCAAATTCATGTCCTGAAAAAAATCGTGAGGGCTTCCAGCGTGGCGATAATTTCATCCATCCAATTGTTTGGATGCCAGAAAAATTTCGACGGGTATACTCAATAAGCCATTGACAACGTTTTAAAGTAAGATCAACACCAAGCTGTGCTATATCGTTTGTTCCTAAAGAGAAAAGAACCACAGAAGTATCATTTAATTTACTTTTTCCTTCAACTGATGCCATCAATTCTGCCATTCGTTCACAATTGCATTCTGACTTAGCTATCAATTCGACATTAATTATATTAGATATATTAACTTTGAACATTCGACATTTTGATGCCATTGAATCAGATAAGATGATTCCATGTATGAATTTTTTCGATGTTGACGTTAATGTTGTTGTTGTTGTTGGGTGGGTGTGGGTGTGTGAGGTGGGTGTGGGTATGGGTGTGGGTGTGGCTGTGGCTGTTCTTCTTCTTTGAACCCACACACACACCCATCCACATCCACCCCCGCATCCATCCACACCCACACCCTCACCCACACCCACATCCACACCCTAATCGCTTGATGTTTTCTATAACAGACAATATATTATGATTTTGCGACAAAATCAAATCCTTCATGATCTCATGATGGTTAAGATCAGCTCCGACCAAAACGTGTCGTAGTTTGGCTTTGAAACTGTCACTTATTGAGCGAAGTACTCACTGTCACCGTTACATGTTTTTTCATATGAAAATTTTTAGAACAAAGATTTCTGCAAAAAAAAAGAGGAAGTAAACTGAGTTCTAATGCTGCAAAACATCAGAAGTCAAGCAGTCAATTTGTTTCTCCTTGCTATAAACTGATCTATTGGATTACGATATGCATAAGAGCAATGAAATGTTACGAATATTTTATTAAAGGTCTACTTTTCTTGTAAATTTCATCCTACATAAAAATTTAACGAAGTTACAATGTCTGCATGATTGCTTAATTTAAGAGAATACGGCGATGTCATCAATATATACGATATCGATTTTGTTATGTTTTTCCCTTTGAAAATCTCTTCAATTAAACTATCGAATGACTCTACTGGATTAGAATTAAAAAGTCTTACAGAATCTGTATACCTCAATTCAATAGACAGGGTGTTTCAAACATATTCTCTCATATCGATGTCTATTTCCAAATATTTTCATCTACGTGTTATAGGGCACATGCTTCTTTTTAGCTTCGAATCAAACACAAGCAAATAAGAATTGTATGTACAGCATAGCACATGACACAAGGCAAAAAATAAAACGGCGAAAAGAAAGCAACCACTATCAGATTATTAGCAAATATATGACCATTGTAAATTTTCCCTAGTGGTCGTGAATGATTTTTGCACTTGCCATCTTTTTGTTCTGTTTTAAATTGTTGTAAATATATATATTTATAGGTGAACCTTTTGAGGACGGGATTATTTTTTGTTTTGAAAATAAAATAACAAACGAGGAAATCTCTGGGAATAATTGATTATTTGTGTTCAATCAAATTTATACGTAGGTACACACTGAAGACTTCAATAACATCACTTCTAAAATTAAAAGATGTGATCATAAAATTTCGTAAAAAAATTGTTTTGAAAAGTTGTACTATATGTGGAGTCATCGTTTGTAAGGTGTAATTCAGCAAAAATCCATGAAGGATATACTTTTATTCATAGAAATATACAGTTTTGTGGCGAATGACGATGTGAATATTTTGATAGTATTTACACCACATACATATCATTTGTCTATTGTAAGTTTCATATATATTTACCTTGGACATTGCCATGTATATCGCTACATAACTTATTATTTGCTGCATATGATCTTTATTCATCAATATCAGTAAATAATTATTTTCATTGATTTAGTCATTACATCGGGAGATTTGATATTCTAATTTCAGGATAGGAGCAAATAAAAAAACCTGAAGCTTTAAACAAAAAACTATTTTCGTTAAGATTTGTCTCTGTGAATAGTTTCAAGTCGAAATTCAAGAATCACTTTTCTTAATATTTCTGTGCCAAATAATGTTAAGTTTATCATTGTTTTTAATTTAAAGATTTATTCTTGTTAGTTTATAAAAAAAACTATTTTTCTAAAATCATGCTCTTTGTATATCCAGTATTTTTGACTATTTTCGTTCGAATGAGAGGTCGCTATATTACTAAGTCGAAAAGAAATCATTCAATTGGATTGGTGATTAACATAATTCCACCCCGAACATTTGTTCATCTCACTAATTCATTTATTTATCTCATAAAAATCTCATCATAATTCTATTCTGACTATGACTGCAATCATCACTCCAATGGACATCAATGATGACGAAGATACATTATCTGACACTGATACTTGGATCTATAACGATCAAGATATTGATTTATCAGGTTAATTATAGAAAAATTCTTTTCATTGATCTAATTACTAATTGATTGTAGATTATGAGATAAACGATAATAATTGGCGATATATCTTTCAAGAAACATTAAATGATGTGCATGATAATAAATTAGATGATGGTGCTCGAACACTTCTATTCGATAGTCCATGTAAAATTCGTATAAAAAAACTTGGAGATACACCTTATACATTTCCATTATCGAATACACTTTGTTCTCGAATTATTTGTGAACATGGTATACCATTATCTCTATCAAATAAATATGATTTTTGTGGTACAAAAGTAAAGACAACATAGTTAACTGATGGTTGTTTGTTTTTTGTTTTATTATTAAATTTCTATTATTTGATAGATTGTTAATACAGCATGGCAAATTGATCATAATTCTATTGATTTTCCTCTTCCATTTTCAGCTGCTGTTCGAGCAAGTACATTTGAACAACTTCATTTAAATACATCAGATCTAAATGCACATTTTGATTTAAATCTACATAAACTTATCATATTTGGTTCATGTCCACATACAAAAATTTATAATTTTGATGATAAACTTTTCATTTATCATGCTACTATACTTGTTTTTTTACCTTCACATTATACAGGTGGTAATTATCGATTTATAGATGATAATATTGATGAAGATGATACTCATAGATATATTTTTAATCAACATGAATCAAATAATTCAAAACCTTTTATTCTTGTTGTACCATCGGATTGTCAACATGAAATTGAATCAATTGAAAAAGGATTTAAACTTCTACTTGTTTATCATCTTATTTCAAAAACAAAGTAAAATAATTATTCTTTCTCTTAGTTTTTATATTTTATATTCTTCTAGTTCAATTCATCAATTCTATTCTCTTCTATCAAATTCAAATTATGAATTAATGAATATTGAAAATATTTTTCTAATTCAACGTATTAAACGTATATTTACTTATTGGGAAAAAAATCTTGATAAAATGCCAAATAAACTTATTATTCCTTTTCAACATTCATTAGATTATTCACCATATTTTTCAATTCTATTTCGTGATAAATATCGAATAACATTTGAACTAATTATAAAAGCTATGAAATATTTATCTTCATTTTTGATTTATTCAGCTATTTTTCAATATGATAAATCATTGGTTAATAGATCTAATTCAAGATTTTTTATTCATGATCTTAAATTATTAAATCCAACTAATGAAATAACACTTGATTTAAATTCACAACATGAACGTACAGTTATACCTAATGAATTTCTTGGTGAACTTCATATTTATGTCGATGCATTTGAACAAGGTGTTAGTCAACAACAACTTCTCAATAATGGTAATTTTAGTTTCAAAATAATTGAAAGAATATTTCATAAATAATCTTTTTAGATAATATAATATTTCGTAATAATAATACAAAATATTATGTTCTTGTTCTAATTCCTTATCAATATCAATGGGATTTATTACTTGATGATCATTCATTTGCATATCATCATTTATCTTATATGTTTTCTTTACCAACAAATTCATTAAATAATTTATGTTTAGATTTATTTGATTGTATTCTTCGTGATAAAATTCATTCGATATATTCATTTGATAAACTTATTTATTATATTATACTTCTTCGTAATCGTTTTGGTTTAACATCAAAAATAATTCAATTAATTAAAATTCTTTTTCAAAATAAACAATTTAAAGATGAATTATTTTCTAATAATAATAATCTTAATTATTGGGTAAATCGTTTAGTTGAGTCATTTTCTAATTGGTCAATGTTTTCAATAGAATTTTTAAATTTATTTCGTAAAATAATTAGTTTATCAATGGCAACAAAACTCAATGAAATTATACAATTTTTATTACAATTTTCAAATAAAATCTTACAAACTTTATTTATTAATATTTTACTTCGATATATATTTAAACCACGAGCATATTCAAGACATATTTCATTATCAACATTATGTTCAATTTTTCATTTATTAATTATTGATGGTTCATATTCAAATGATTCTTTATTTATTCTTGCTTATAATATTATAAAACGTATAAGAAAAACTTCATCTGAAAATGAAATTATTGAAAAATATTTTAAAATTCATTTAATACCAATGCTTATTAATATATATCGTGATAAACAACATAATTCAAATAATTCATTATCACCTGCATTTATTCTTATTTATGAATATTGTTTAAATACTTTAAATTATTATTGTTCATCAACATTATCATCTTCATCTTCATTAAATATTATTTCAATTAATGAAGCATTATTAATATGTCCATGTACATCATGTGCTCGTTTACAAATGTTTTTAATTGATTCGAAAAGTTCAACATTAATATTTGATTTATCATCAACATTAATACCTGATCATTGTCTTCGTTATACACTTAGTAAATTTCCAATGTTATCAATTGAATATAAACATGATCCATGTACAGGTCGTGAACAAACTTTAATTATATCGAAATGTGCATATGAACAAGAACAGAAACAACTATGTTTTCATCTTCGACGTTTATTAATGAACTTACATAGAATATAATAGAAGTGATTGTTTTGTTTTGTTTTTATGTGAAACTTTTATTTTATTTTATTTTATTTTTGTTGAAAATGAACAAGATTTAGTAAAAAAACAATGAGTAAACATAAAGTTGCTATTTGTGAGAAAAGAAATCAACTTACGATCAATTTTCATCTCGAAAATTGGTTTTTTCATTTTGAACGTAGAAGTTTTATGGCAATTTTCCACAAGTATTCAAACGAAGACAAGAAGTCTTTTTTATCATTGTTTTCACACATTGCGTACTCGCTCGAAGGAGCTGACCATTTGACACAAAAATCAATTTTGAGAAAAACGTAAAAACTTCTATATTGTATCTACCTATCATTGGGTTTCAGTAAGAAACATAACTATATTATAATTCAATCGTTAAAATTAATCAAGATATGTAGAACTGTACTCCAAACTATACATACAGTCAATTGGAAATGGTGTTATTCATAGTTTTTCTTCCATTTTTACTTAAATTCACTTGAGAAAAATAGATAGACTATTATTCTATCGACAGAAATGTCGATATCAAGGTAAGAGTAGATAATATATGATGTATTCTTTGTCCATCAGTTTAATCTATTTATGATCATTGTCCGTTGCCAAAAATATCAATCATCGAAAGATATCTATGAATAAATTTAGTAATATCAATACCATTGCACAATAAATTACACTGCATAATTAATGATTATGCATGCAAAACTTTAGAGAAACTTTATTTATGGATTGATTAGCATTTGAAACTGATTTTGTATTGATGAATAGGTTAATATTCGGATCTAAATGATAAAATTGTTTAATTATAATTTTATTCAATTCGAGCAAAGATTTAAGAAGATCAAGATAGATTGTATTTATAATAATGTATGAATCGTCACGAATATTTTATTCTAATAAACTATTGTGCATGTGTAAAATACGATCATCAGTGGATCTAACAATACTAAAGTATGTTCATGAACATTAAATTGTGTGCAATTCGTCATTAACATAGAAAGAATATTTGGAATGACAACTTTAACAAATATCGAATACTCTATTTTCTATCACGTATAGCTACATTAATTGACAAAAAAAGATTATTAATTTCAGTTATGTTTGTAGAAATACTTAATGTACTGTTTCCAAGAAGAAACCGAATAAAACAAGTTATTTTAAAATTGATTATTTGGAACAGAAAACAAAAATTATATTCAAATCATTTTCATTTGTTGTATTATAATCAAAACATTTATTTGTATGTTTTAATCTAAATGTCAATTGGATCTTATAGAATCAATAGTTCAATCATAAACTGTTCTTTTTATACGATTATCAGAAAGAAATTTGCTGCTGTTGTTCTCTTGTGTAATCTATGTTGACATATACAACTTTCTTTTTTTTTTTTCTTTTTCTTCTATCTGTTGCTCATTTAATCTCTGCTAACCTCTCCATTTGCTTGTCCTTTTAACGCTACACATAAATCAACAAAATAGAAAGAACATTCATACTAATAATCATATATATGTGTAGAAAGGCAGCACCACACTTCTATACAGTTCATTGCATGCAATCCATACGCGCATTTGTTGATATATATATATACATATATATATAGTTATAGATTATTTCCTCTTTTCTGTACTACGATTGCATATTACCAAATAAGGAAATACTCGTTTTTTTCTTTTCCTGTAGAAGAAAACCACATAGACTATTATGTATATCCTTATATGGTATAGAAATAAAAAAAAAGGAAAAGAGAAAAATAGGAAGTACTATATAATGGGATGTTTTATCCATTCTAAGGTTGCCTTCTGTGTCTTGGATATTTACAACAATATTTATCTCTTACTCGTACTAAGAATATAACATAAATATGTGTGACGAGGACGTTGCTGCTATTGTTATTGATAATGGATCGGGTATGTGCAAAGCTGGATTTGCTGGTGATGATGCACCTCGATCAGTATTTCCATCGGTTGTTGGTCGACCTCGTCATCAAGCTGTTATGGTTGGTATGGGTCAAAAAGATTCATATGTTGGAGATGAAGCTCAATCAAAACGTGGTATTTTAACACTTAAATATCCAATTGAACACGGTATCATTACTAACTGGGATGATATTGAAAAAATTTGGCATCATACTTTTTACAATGAACTTCGTGTTGCACCTGAAGAACATCCAGTACTTTTAACTGAAGCTCCACTCAATCCAAAGGCCAATCGTGAAAAAATGACACAGATTATGTTTGAAACTTTCAATTCACCTGGTAAATACACCGATTAGTGTTCTCAATATATATATATATATTTAAAAATTCGTGATTTCTTTTTTCTAGCTATGTATGTTGCTATTCAGGCTGTACTTTCTCTTTATGCTAGCGGTCGTACAACTGGTATTGTACTTGATTCAGGTGATGGTGTTACACATGATGTACCCATCTATGAAGGTTATGCTTTACCACATGCCATTCTTCGTCTTGATTTGGCTGGTCGGGATTTAACTGATTATTTAATGAAGATTCTTACTGAACGTGGTTATTCATTTGTTACAACAGCTGAACGTGAAATTGTTCGTGACATCAAAGAAAAATTATGTTATGTTGCACTTGATTTTGAACAAGAAATGGCAACAGCTGCATCAACATCATCACTCGAAAAGAGTTATGAATTACCTGATGGTCAAGTTATTACCATTGGTAATGAACGTTTCCGTTGTCCAGAATCACTCTTTCAACCTTCATTTTTGGTATGTCGATTTATTTATCTTTATCTATTTATTGAATAAATATATTCTAGGGTATGGAAGTTGCTGGTATTCATGAAACAACATTTAATTCAATTATGAAATGTGACATTGATATCCGTAAAGATTTATATGCTAACACTGTCTTATCAGGAGGTAAAATGAATAATTTATCAGAATGATTTTATTCTTTTCTTTTTTTTTGAAATTATTTAGGCACTTCAATGTATCCTGGTATTGCTGATCGTATGCAAAAAGAAATAACAGCTTTAGCACCATCAACAATGAAGATTAAAATCATTGCTCCACCTGAACGTAAATATTCAGTATGGATCGGTGGTTCAATCTTAGCTTCACTTTCAACCTTTCAACAAATGTGGATTTCAAAACAAGAATATGATGAAGCTGGTCCATCAATTGTTCATCGTAAATGCTTTTAAACACATAAATCAATTCAACAGTATAGACTTACATCATATATACTTCTTTTTTTACACTGATCTTTTTTTTTTTTTGGTGCTAATTATATGTACTCTTCTTCTTTAATAAACCTTTTTTTTGCACATTAATATTGGTATCAGTTTTTGTTTTGATTGCTATTATTGTACAAGAACATAATTACTAGGAATGGTGTTCTTCTTGAAAGACTTCCGTTCGAGTATAAGAATAATTCATCATCACTTCATGTCAACATAGTTGTCAATAAACATGACATTTTATAAGATATATTATTATGCATACAATGATTTGTTATAAATAGTTCTTTGTCTATTACACCAATAAGACGACAATGTTCTGTTGAAACAGTATTCTTAGTACAAGTCTATGACATTATGATGGATTCAATTATGTGGGGAAGAAATGTTGATCTTTTGCAGTTTGATTTCATATGAATTTATATAGTTTTGTTACCATTCATGTAGTTTGTCAAAGCAAGTTTTTTTTTCATATAAAAATACTTTGCGGTTCAATATCAAATTGTTAGATGTGCGACAATTGAGACTTTTGAAACAAAATCATTTGATACGAACTGATATGATCGATTCAAAATTAACAAGTTCCCTAGAATCGTTCGAGAACTACTTCTAACAGATACCTGTAATTTCTTTTTTAGCTCAACTGATGAGTTCAAAATGTAACATCTCAACCAAAGGCGAAAGCGTAGACTCTACGGCTGTAAATATTGAAGATTCATAAAATCTTTACAGTCACATGAAGTTTACTGAAATTCATTAAAATAATCAAGGTTGTATATGAAAACAAACACTACGATGACGTTTTATTTTCGTTTTTGTTAATAGCAAACTTCGTCAGTGATATTATCTTATCAACAGCTGTGTTCTTCTCATCAGAGACAAGATTAGATTGTGTATTTTTTTTTTCGAAACCGAATTGATTGTATCTCTCTGTTTCTTACATGCAACTGATCGAATTTTATTCAAGTTTCAATATATTTTAATACACTTTCATCTTGAAGGACATGAATCTCAAAATTAAAAAAAAAAAGAAGACAATGATTTCTTCTCTTATCTCTACTTCTTTTTCGTATATTTCCATTCTTTATTTAATAATAAATCTATTAAAGAAAAGAATTGCACAAAAAAGAATCACACATAGATGTTATTAAAATTTGAAATTATTGTTTAATTCTGTTTCATTGGTTTATATTGTTGCCAACTATGTAATAAAATATTAGCCATATATAAACTGAATGCATGTATTTGTACCATTATTATTAAAAATATATACCAAAGTATTAATAATGGAAAACCAAGAAATGTTTGTCGTTCAACATCATCTAATTGATGATTTGTTTTTAATTTTTTAAAAGTAAATAATTCACTTAAATTAAGTATAATTGTTGTCATTATTGTACCTAAACCAAATATAACTGTACCACGAAAAAATAATTTCATTAAAAAAATATGATTTTTATTCATTGATATAAGACCACATATTGATGGTAAAATAGTAATAACCCATATATATTGCCATAAATGTGGTCGTGGAACATTTATTGTTTTTATTAATGGTATATGATATGTTATTATTTGAAAAAGAACAAGAAAAGCAAGAACAAAATGAAGATAAATTAATAATCGAAGACGTGATTTTGTTTCAGCACTAACACGATAATGTGTAGCTACACGTTCACGATGCTGAAAATCACTTCCATCAGTACCAGTAACACGTTGTGAACCCGGAAGAGACATCTGAAATACAAAAACAACAAACAAAAAAAAGAAAAAGAAATTTTCTATTGAATCATTAAATTAAAAAAAATTATCATAAATAAAACAAAGAAATCATTTTTTTTTGGGCTATCATTTTGACTTGTATCTAAATACGTTTTGTACTAATAGGATTTGTTTCCATTATATTTATATCATATGACATACCATCACCATACGGTTGTGATGATATAAGAGGATTAAATAATATTAAATACCATCGTTTACCAAAAACAAGTTGTAAATTTGATTGAAAATTTTTTCCAATTTGATATATATGAATATTTTTAATATATTCATACCATGTTTGACTATTTTTTATAAGAATAATTTGTTGAATTATTAAAAATAAAATATAAAGATTTAGCATAATTGATGTTGAACAAATACATGAAAGTATAAGTGAAAAATGATCAACAAGACCAAATAACCATGCACCGAATGGACATAGACAAGCTAAAATATATAAATAAGAATATCATTAAGGAATTTACTCAAGAGAGTCCTTGAAAATAAGTCAAATTTCACGATTTATAGCTTGTTAGATAGGACAAAGTGTCTACTTTCGAATATACTAGACTTCATATATCAAGCTGAAATGTTTACTGTGAGATGTGTCTAACTTGAGGCACACCTTCACGGGGAATTTCATCAAGATTGAATTTTCGAAAAAAAAAGTTGCATTTTTGAGGGGATCCCTTTAAAATTCAATGGGAAAAGAGTTCATGAATATTTTTAATTCAATATTGCATGATCTCCATCTAATAAATAACTGCGAGTCTTTTTAGACGTAAGATCGGCTACAGATTTCATCAAATCTGCATTCAAAGTTTTCCTTTTTTTTGTCAGGTCCGACTTTCCAAGTTAATTTGAATTCTGCTTCTAATCTAAATAGAAAAAAAATCCATAGTTATCCTATTATACACTCTTTTTTCTTTTTACAAGTTTGATATATTTGATTTACGTGCAATTAAAACTGTGCCTTATGACTGATCATTTGGATCTTACCACTGATTCACGGCAATTTTAATAATAGATCTTGTTGAAAAAAAAACCTAGGCTGAGAATACGACCACGTTGGAATCGACAAAAATATATATCAACAATTTCCTACTACACAATCTCCGAGATCGAACGTCGATTGTTTCGTATTTTCGATTACTACAACTTAATTCTATCTGATATTAGGTATAAAAGACTATGCACTCGTCCTGTTCAAGAGATCTTTTAAAAAAGTGAGAAACTATGAAGAGATAACTCAAAAATTGAATTCAAATGATTATAACAGAAGAAATAAAAATTATATTGTAAAAAAAAACTTTATTACTTTTTTCTTCATAGCTTCACTAGAGGAGATTATGGATACTACGCCTAAAAAAATTCAAATCATTTTTTTAATGAAACACGATCTAAAACAAGTGTTGGAAATATAGGGATAGAACTTAGGCCCATATCTCCTCCATAGGCATGATAGATACTTTATTATTGCTACTCCCTTCCTGTAGATCATGATAGGCATACTCGTGAGATAGAAATCTACTATGGAATTAATATGAAACATAGTTGAATTTAAGACAGCTGTCATTTATCTTTCCTTCACAATGATTGTCATATCTTATTCTCTTTCTTGTCGAGAAGAGTCCAGCAAACATAAATTGTCTGCTTGCGTGTCCGTACTTCACTGATTGGTCGGAGAAAAAAAGGAACAATTATCTCAAGAACTTGACCGAAGGTAATCGAGGGTGAGGAATTCAAATCCGACGTCAGTCTCATTTTTCTTTTGTTACAATTTTTAGTAAATTTTTTGTCTAGAAAAATTAATCAAAGGCTATTGAAGGTAAAAAACCGTAACCCATAATTAGTTTCTGTTAACACTATAGCAAGAATAACGAGTAGTAAGATTTACGAAATATTTCTTATGAAAGAAAGTCTCTACGACTAAGATATCAGCAATAGTTAAATGTGTAAATAGATGTCATGCATAGAAATAGATGGTTCTGAGTGCTAGGACGTAATAATTGGTAGTTATCGTTCTCAAGAGAAATTCCAAGTGAAAATCATCTACCTGACAATAAGGATGGGTGTTGATGTAGGTGTAGGTATTCTCATTATCTACATCCGCACTCTAGTTTGCTGAGAGATCAGAAACATCATTTCTACGAGAAAGAGCTGCGCAAGTCCGCAGACGAGCGTTGCTTGTGATATCATCTTTCATGATCGATATGCATTAAGGTCTCTCCCTCCCTCCAAAATCGATTTTCATTATAGTACGAGGGAATTTCACGAAACTTTCTAGGAATGTTTGGCTCATAGTTGTACATATATACAAAAAATTTCAGAGCTCTAAACCTTATTGTTCGAAAGATTTCGAACAACCAAGGGGCAAATTAGGGCTTCCACGAGAAAAAGGAATTTTTCAGTACATTTCAAGCTACAGCTCCCGGGATGGTCTCATTTGAAAGAGAACTCCTTGCTGCTTCGGATAAGGGAAGGGATTTTTTTAATTTATATTTTATTTCATTTTTGTAACTTTCGAAACCTTAAAGTTCTAAAACCCCCTAGCCAAGATTTTCTAGAAAACCTTTCGTTTTTTCAATATTAAGGGTCGAATACAAATTCCATTTCCCTCATTCGAAAGAGGACTCATCAATCTATCAAATAAAAAAAATCGCAGTTCGATGGAACGAACTATAATGAAAAAAAATTTGTTTGGAGTTTCTCAATTTTGCCAAATCAGTTTTGAGAAAAACGCGCGAATGTTTTTTTCTTTGAATATTTTGTTGAATCATCTTCATACATCAGAGAGAAACGTAGTTATATTATATATCAATTAAAAGCCCATCAGACGTCTCACCGAGTAGGCGTACAACAGTACACCGTGTCATTGTTTGTCATTATGAACGATAAAAACAAGTGGGTCTATAAGTTCTCTATAGTCTTAGGTACCATGTTTTTTGTTAGAAAGTTTTAGAAGTTCATCGATTATTTTAAAGAAATCTTTCGAAATTGGAAGTGACTTTCATGAATTTTAAAACTAGACACCTTGGAGGTAACATCCATATGTTTATCTCGAAAACTGAACTTTTTAAAAAAAAAATCGATTTTCGGAGGGGGGGAGAGGCCTTAACACGAGGTAGTATTGTCAAGATTGATACATATATTGGTGAATTCTCTCTTTTACGATGTCAGCAGTTCCATCATATTTCATATTTGAATCTCGTAGGGATTGTCATAACAGCTTTTTTTAACTAAAAATATGTTCTAAGATGTCAGACTTGGAGATGTGTATCATCTTTCGTTGATGATATTTATGTTTTAATTAACTTACCGATTATAACACGCCATGAAAAAGTTCCAACAAGTTCATAAGTATAATCCATATGAAGAATATTACAATAAACTAAACCAATCTGAAAAATAAAATTTTTATTGAATTAAAGAAATACCAAAAAACAAAAATTTTTTTTTTTACCCAAGTCCAAATGAGAAAACACATATAATAACGAATATTTCGAAAACCAATACATCGTCCAAGAAATGTACAATGATGATCATGTTTTAAAATACATATTTTACATAAATGACAATGTTGTGATCGTGCTGGAACATTTATTTCACAATTATGACAATAATGCCAATTACAATGATAATAAATAATATCTTGTTGAATTTTTTCTTTTGATTTTGAAATTACTATTGGTGATGGTAATAAAACAGGACAAATAATTGTACTAATTGATGTATCTGTAATCATACATAAATATAAATTTCCAATTAAATTAAAAATAATATAAAAACCAAATATAAGATGTAAAATTTCTTTATAAGTAAATATATTATGATAAATTATTGGTAATATAACATATAATTCAAATATAACATACGCACAAATAAGAAATATTGTAAAAAATAATGGGATAAATTCACCACGATCTTTAGGTATTAGAAGTTTTACTCGACGGTTACTCATTCTTTCTTAGAAAATCTACAATAAATAAACAAAACTATTGAAAAAATATTCCTATGTATTGTCCTTTTTCAAGCAACGCTTATTGTTCATATAAGAAAAACAAATATAGTATTAGCTCCCTCTATATTTCCTATTGAATACATTGGCTTAGCAAAATCTCTTGTGTCTATTATTGTTGCAAAATGTTCTTTGAAAATTTTGATCTTATTCCCAATAAGTCATAATTAATTTTCTTTAAATAAAATAAATTTCCCAAAAGAAAAACAAATCATTTCAATAATAATCTACCAAAAATATGGTTAATTATTGTGTTTCTTTTATCTTTCTTATATATGCAAACAAAACAGACGACAACAACCATGATGATGTTTCAGACAAACGCAACACACACACACACACACATAGAGGAAGAAAAGACAAAAATATCCTTAGAAAAGCCAAGCGAATGGTATGTTTAACGGTGATAATAACGACCAAAATAATTGTGCGAAAGAGCACGATTTGCATCTTCATTAAATAATATAAAGAAATAGCAGAAAAGAAGAACAAAAAGAAAAACAGAAACAATGTATACACCAAACAAACAAATACGCACACACACACATATGTTTACGAATAAGGAAAAACATTGATTCAAAAAGAGAACTCTATGTCTGATATGATAATCTAAAAATAAAGATGGATGTCGTCATCATTCTTTTTTTTTTTTTCTGTTTTCTATAATAAATTTCGTTAAATATTTATATATATATATATGTTAATTGCTATTTGTCGAATGTGTTGGTAAGCAAAAATCTTGAGCATTAGGATCGAGATTGGATGTAGCATTTTGTAATGGTAATGGTGGTGGTGTTATAGTTGTTGGAGGTGAATAAAAAACTGATGATGAACTCGTTGTCGGATTATTATTTGTATCAATTAATTGAAGTGTTGGTGATGAATGTCCAGATGTTTGAGGATGACCATTAAATAAACAATTATTTACTTGATGTTGGGAATGAAGTGCAGCAATTAATTCACGTTCCTTTTCTCGAATGGCACCTGAAAAGATACAAAAAAGAAAAATTCTTTGTTTGTTTTTCGAAAAATTTTAATAATACTAACTATTGGCTATTTCAAGTTGTCGTTTAACTTCACCAAGTGCAGAAAATAGATCAAGTTTAATTCGTGTTTCAGCACTAAGACTATCTTGTAAATGTGCATTTCGTTCTTGTAATTGTGTTAAATGTTGATAGAGTACTTCTGTATCGGCTTGAGATTCTCGATATTTTAATAGAGTCTAAAAATTATATTAATTAATTTTTATACAATAAAATATTGATTTAAAAAATAAAAATAAAAATTTGAAATGTCTTTTGTTGTTATATTTCGAAAACAAATGATTTCATTTTATGATCTAATAGATATTTGAATGATAGTTCTTGATTACAATGTCTGACTATGAATTATGTTAGAACAAACTGAAGCATAGCATTCTTACAAATATTTTTTTTTAAAAGTATTGTAATCAGAAGAATTAATCGGTTGAAGACAAGAAATCCATCTTTAGATAATGGTTATGGATTAGTTTGTAACTATGTTGTTGATGGTACTGTTGAGATGTGCTTCTGTCAGTTTTAGTTCTATTGTCCTTGATAATGTCAAGGATTATCATTAGTATTAGAGAAAAATTGAAAATGATAACTGGCTTTATAATCTGAGAAACTTATAATACCAAAAATTCGTTTGTTCATCATTGCATATCTACGCATACTTGTATTTATAGATGATCATATAATATCTCATGATTCAGAAAGGGTGTGGCCAGAGGGTGTGTCCATGATATATAGATAACCTTTCTCTTTATTCCAAAAATTTCTGAAAGAAAGGGCACATTTGATAAAATAAGATATTTCTTTCATTAAGGATTCTTTTGAAATTTCTGTCTGCATATATGAAATTGTCACTAAAGTCAAGGACAAAAGTTTAAATCCAAAAGTATTTTTGATTTTGTTTTTTTTCAATAATGCTAAGTACCTAGCTTTAATGCAAATAGTAGTTTTAATAGCTAATGGAGTTTCCTATAAAATATATTATATTTCAATATTTCATAGATGTACTATGATGAGAAGATTTCTACAAAATCGAACATGGTAGTTTTCAGGTTCTAAAAGACTTTCTTGAAATTAGTTTTTAACAGTGCTATCTTAAAGCGCACAAAATTCTGAGTAAGATGAAGAGTCGCCGCATTTTCTACGATCTTTTCTTAAAAAGTTATAAGCTACACAAAAACTGACAAAAAGTGAAATTTCTCAAGAAAATGTGGTGATTCATTTCATCTCGTTCAGAATTTTGTGCTCTTTAAGATAGCACTGTTAAAAACTAACTTCAAGAAAGTCTTTTAGAATCTGAAAACTACCATGTTTGGTTTTGTAGAAATCTTCTCATCATAGTACATCTATGAAATATTGAAATATAATGTATTTTATAGAAAACTCCATTAGCTATTAAAACTACTATTTGCATTAAAGCTAGGTACTTAGCATTATTGAAAAAAAACAAAATCAAAAATACTTTTGGAGTTAAACTTTTGTTCTTGACTTTATTAATATTGTATCTTTGTAGCAAAGAAATACTTTGATGAAAGTTTGAGATACACAACGATTTCATTTTAGTCTAAAAATTGCTCATTCTATCTATGAAATGAATATATCATTAAATTCTTTTTCCGTAATAGAAGATCTTATGTCTCATTTTGTTTTCATAATTTTTAATTAACAAAGTCTTGTATTAAGATGAGGAATTTAATTTAAAAAAAAACTATTAATATACCTTAATTTCATTGTCAAGTAATTTGATACGTTCATCTTTGTCATTAAGTAATTTACGCATTTCTCGTGTTTCATTCTCTTGATCTCGTCTTCGTTTGATACATTGTTCTGTACATTCACTTCTACATCAAACAAACAAAAAAAATTTTTTTCTTTACATAAAATCTATAAAATAAAATAAATAATATAACAAACTTTGGTGGTATTAAATTTAATTTTGCTAAATCATCTTGAAGTTTTTTTGTTAATGTTTTTTCTGTTTTTATTTGTGATTCTAATCGTTGTTTAAATTGCTTTTCTTCATTAACATTTTTTTCAAGATCAGTTATACGTTGTTTATCACGATTTCTTTGAGTATTGATTGATTCATATCTAAATAAAAATATAATAAAATTTTTCTTTTTCTTATATACAAAAATGAAATATAATATACTTTGCTTGTAATGCTGAATTGTCTGCACGTAAATCTTCAAGATCTTTACGAACATTTTTTAAATCGGATAATTGTGAACGTAATTGCATTTCGGAATTTTTTTGTTTGTCAATTGATTGATTTAGTCGTTGAATATCACCTTCAAGTTTATTTATTTGAAGACTAAAAAAAGAACAAAATGAAAAAAAAAATATATTAATTATTATGATTTTATTATCTGAAAAAGGAATGAAGATCTTGTTAAGATTTTCTTCATAAACTATTTACTAATAAACTAAATTAATTGATATTAATTTACAGGAATATATATCTACGATGATATCAGTATTGTTCTCATTTTGACTGATTGTCTGTTCCTAATAACGATTTAACATTCATTTTATAACAGATCTAATGACTTGATCTATTCAAGTCAATACAAGACGAATCATATAATAGATCAAATAGAAAAAACTATGATCTCATATAGATCATAACTGAATTTTATCTGAGATCAAAGATAATTTTTGATCAATCAAAGCGATGGTTTTTCTTCAGAGATTAAACATACATTGTTACTGATGAATTCAAACGAGCTTTGCCAAAGTTGAAAAGAGCAAAATCATTATCTCATCAGGAATTCCTGTTTGTCTCATGTGAAGTTTGACATCGATCAACTTACAGTTCGCTGAATCGAAAATTTTCGGATCCGAATACGAACTAGACTAAAAACGTTCCATTGAAATATTTTAGTCTGAATCTGATAGTCATTCTGATGATGATATAAACTAAGCATTTCGTAGACAATCTAGTCAAGGATTGTATAATAATCAAGTTATTGAATTTTAGAGTATGATCTGTTAGGTTGGCACCCAGGATTAACCTGACGAACTCATCTATTTGCTACAATGAATTGTATAAAGTAGTTCACAATAGACTTTTATATCACTGCATTGTCATTGATACTATTAGAAAAAAAAAAAATCTCAACTAATCATTCGAGATTATCCTATTGTGAAGTATCTCGTTTGTGTTAGTAAAATTTACTTTTTGTCAATATCTGAATTTTCGATCGATATATTTGTTGGAAATCCATTATTATATGATGAAGATGAATCTCTTGATGTGGCACGTATCTGTTCTCTTTCTTGTTTTTTTTGTTGTCTTCGACTTTGAGTATTTTGTGTATTAGAAGATTTGATAAACTGTTTTTTCTGTTGTTTATATGTTAATGATGAATCATCATCATTTCCATTTGAAATTTTATTACTACGTGTTGTTGTTGTTGTTGTTGTCTGTACAAGTGAATTTGTAGATAATAAATCATCATTATTATTTAATTTTTGTGGACGTTTTGATACTGTACAAGGTAATGATGTTGAATGATTAGTTACATGTGTTTGAGAATTAATCAATGTTGAATTTGTAGCTAGAGGATTTGAATTAGTTATTGATGTCATCGGAGAAGGTGATGATGATGGTGATGGATAATTTCCATCAATATTTGTTTGACTTGTACATTCATCAAAAGTCTCAGTAAATGTACCTTTAGTAAAAATAAATGAATAAAAATTTTCAAAAAAAAAAAGAAAAGAAAATTAATGACAAACCCTTCTCTCGACTTAATTTTTCTTTTTCAACTTCTTGTTGAACTTCAATGGGTAAGGCTTGATTAATTAATTGAACATAGGATTCATTTAGTTTTCTTACATCACGTTGTTTTCTCTATTAAAATCAAAAATAAATCAATCAAATTTCAATTCTTTCAAATTCTTCTT